AACTGTGAAATTACTAGGAGTCCAAATTGATTCCCTTTTAAATTTTGATATACATGTCACTGATATCTGTGTAAATTGGTTTCAAACCTGAAAGTTTCTTAAAAGAATTGGAGGATTTTTAACCAAGCAGGGGGGAAAACTATTTACAATTCTTTTATTATGTCCAATTTTAATTTTTGTCCCCTGGTATGGCATTTTACTTGTATGAAAAGTGTGAGAAAGATGGAGAAGATCCATGAGCGTGCAATGATATTTGTTAAGTCCGACTATGTTTCATCTTTCAATCAACTTTTAAAATCCTCCAATACCAATCTTTTACATGTAAATAGACTCAAGAGTATTGGACGTGAAGTATTTAAGATTGTACATAAAATATCTCCTGAATATATACAGGATTTAATAAAACTAAAAGAGACTTCTTATACTTTCAGGAATGAAAAGACGGTAAAAATCCCAGCAGTAAACTCTGTCATGTATGGACAATAGTCATTCTTGTTGTGGGCAGCCCGGGTGTGGAACAGCCTATCAAATGAATTACGGAAATGTGAATACTTTCCAGAATTCCGGAGACTGATCCACACTTGGGGTGGCCCCATTTGTACCGGCACTATCTGTTTAAAACTGTCTGCTGAATGATTTGTCCTGCCCACTGTTTTTTATTATGTTTTAAAAGTGCTTTAATTGTTTTCTGTTTAAATTAATTTTATGTTTTCTTTAGCTTTAATTTCTGTATGCTTTATATGTGCTTTTAAATTATTAATCATTATCAGAGGACTTGTTAGGTAGGGGATGCCCAATCACCTGTCCTCTGATTACATGTGCCGACGTGCTCTGATACGCACTACGTTGTTAATATTTTTGTTATATATATATATATATGCTTCATTCTAGCTTTAACTTATGTAACTTATTAATATATGTTTTTTCTCTCTCTCTTCTATGGCCAGATGATCTGGTAGGTAGGGTATTCCCGATCACCTGATTTTGAGCTAGATCGTTTTACTGATTTCATGGAGTAGAAGACGATTAACTCCTATTGGGAAAATACATGATTTTTGTGATTAAATCATTATTAATTTCACAATTTAATCACTTGTTCATTTCATTACCCAACCCAAGCATTGCTTTTATTAATAAGTTAAATACTGTTATATATAACTTTCTTTGGAATGGCAAAACAGACAAAGTGAAAAGAAATGTCATAACTAAAGATTATTTTGAAGGTGGTCTGAAAATGGTCAACATCAAGTCTTTTATAGATGCTCTAAAACTAGGATGGTTAAAGAGATTTTTTCAAAGTACATGTTCTAGAAAGTGGCAAGTTATACTTATGAATATTATTAATGTTGATTTTATTATGAACTGTGGAAATAATTACCAACGTATGTGTCATAGGACATGCAAAAATATGTTTTGGTGTGATGTTTTCAAAGCTTGGGAAAGATGATTAAATTCTGATTTACCAAAGGGCAGACAACTCTCTATTCTGAAAACCCCCTTATGGCATAACCCACATATAACTATTGGTGGAAACTCTGTCTTTTACAATAACTGGTATGCTAAGGGTGTTAGAGTGATAAATGATATGTTGAAAATACAAATCCTGTTACTTTCTATTCCTACCATGAATTTACACAGAAATGTAATATATTTACAAACTTTCTTCACTGTCATGGTCTTGTCAAATCTGTTAAATTAATTATTGATACACAAAGGATTCAGGATATAAAACTTCTACTTCCTTTCATTCCGTTAAACATAGAAACATTTTTTGATAAGACTCCAGGAAAAAAATATTTATATGAAATCTTATCAAAGAATGATGAAATTCCAACAGGCAGGAAAAAATGGGCAGATCAATTTGACTTTGATAATACTAATTGGGCAAATATTTTTTCTCTGCCTTTCAAAATAACAAACGATTCAACACTTCAGTGGTTTCAGTATAGAATTTTACATAATATTTTAACAACAAATTCACTACTATTTAAGGCAAACATAGTTGTAAGTCCAATTTGTACTTTTTGTAAATCAGAGTCAGAAACCATAACTCGCATATTTTGGGAATGTCAAAAGTTCAAAATTTACTGCAGAGCTTGGAAATACTCTTAGACGCACTTTTGATTCCTTTTACTATTAATAAACTCTTGAACTCTGACAGTTGGTTTATATAAAAANTCAGTAAAATTGATAATGAAATTAACATCATCATTAAACATTACATTTACAAAACTAGATGTCTTGAAACCACACTTAACATAAATGCTCTTATCAATTTATTGAAAGACCACCACAATGTCAAAAAATACATAGCAACCGTTAAAAGTGATGCTTCTCTTGAACGTTTTGACAGAGAGTGGGGGAAATGGATTTTTTTACTTCTTTAGACTTAAATTGAAATGATTTCTATATCTATACCAATTCATATCTATTAATGGACTCTTGAACTCTGACAGTTGGTTTATATAAAACTTTTATACTTGTTTTGAGAAGATATTACTATCTTTGAGCAAATGTTGCCAATAGAACAATTGTCCATGATTTAATTTCAACTTTTTGATTTTTGGAAGGCCTGTCTCTCTCAAACCTTGTCTCTGTGTCGATTGTCTTTGTGCGTATATGTCTGTGTGTTTGTCTTTGTCTGTTTGTCTATCTGGCAGTTCTTGCCTGTGTCTTGTTTGTCTTTGCCTCTGTGTACATGTCTATTTTTGTTTTGTCTGTGTTTGTTTTTCCAGCAATTATCTGTCTGTCTCTATTTCTTTCTTTCAATAAAACCACAACACATGACTAATATAATTAGTTTTTATTCCAATATTTTGAAATGACATCTTGGATAGATTGATAACATATGCGTTAATAAATATATACTATCATACTAAGGTAGTTGCTTGTGTATAATATATTGAATGATAGTGTGAGAGCTATTCATATACATTTCTTTAAATGTGCATCATGTATAGAGATGAATATTTTGTACAGAACTGGTGTATATGAATCCTAAATTATGAATGTTTCTATACAGATGTATTGTGTATATGAAATATTTAATTATGAATGTTCCATACAGTTGTATGGTGTGTATGAAATGTTTGATATGAATGTTTCTATAAGGACGTATGGTGCTTATAAAATGTTTGATAAGAATATTTCTATACATATGCATGGTGTGTGTGAAATGTTTGATATGATTGTTTCTATACAGATGTATGGCATGTATGAAATATTTAAGATAAATGTTCCGTACTGTTGTATGAATGTTTCTGTACAAATGCATGGTGTGTATGAAATGTTTAATATGAATGTTACATACAGTTGTATGGTGTGTATGAAATGTTTAATATGAGGTTTTTTTTATAGTATACGGATGTATGATGTGTATGAAACTTTGTATATAACTGTTTTTTACAGGTGTATGAAATATTTGATACGCATGTTCTATACAGATCTATGGTGTGTATGAGTATATATGAAATGTTTGAAATAAATATGTCATAAATTAGCATGCTTTGTTATGATAGTACACACGATCAGTAAGTCAGATTAATATTCTCTACAGACCCAATACCTAGAAAACTGGGAATATGAAATGAGTATGGTTAACATGAAATGTGTATGGAGTGTACTGTGAAGTATGTTATAGTCTCCCAAATATTGTCATGTGTCTGTGCTTTGAAAAACTGAACACAAATATATATATATATATATATTTTTTTTACTGATTTTACATTAGAAATCAGGATCTTTACAGACTCAATTGTATTTTACATATATATATTTAAATTTTTGATAATTATTTAGAAATTGTAACAAAACATATTTCACTCAGTCACATTATCTCATAGTGATCTTTTTTTAATGAATAACTGATTATAGTCAATATGGTCAACCTTTGTGTGTGCTTTTTTATGAGCTTATTCTTCTTTCGGCATGTTTGTATACTTTTATTTCAAAACTAATTGTTGTGCTTTTGTTTCTTAATGCATGTTTGGTTACATTATGCCCACTATGATATTTTATATGTTCTGTCATAAGAATAGCTCTTCAGAGCTAATGTTTCACGTAACACACATATACGACAAAAAAAATAATCTTGCATCGTGTATCTTGGTGTTATTATATTGCTGTGAACAACCGTCCACGAATGACTTTCCATGCATCACAACGTGATGCTACCCAAAACGGAACATTTTCCCAATGTATGAGGCAGTATTTTTTATTATTCGATACCATTAAATTGTAACTATATAGAAAGAAAATTTTCTTCAAAAAAGTATTTCAGTTGGGGTAGTGTCACGTTATAATTTTCAAGAAAAACGGCAAAAATCATGAGCCGTCGAGTTAATTAAAAATCGATCTATATACCCAAACGCTTTTCAACCATGATAAGGAAAAACTCTTTTTCAATAAGATCGGCATCAACATGGAATAAACTACCTGAATATGTTACTTCAGCAAATAATATGTTAACAAATTTAAAAACGAACTAATTACATGTAGCATACGTCTCTGGTTACATTAACATAAATATATCTACAACAAATTAGAATAACTCCAGAATTAGAGATATAACGATATAGACTATACCGATATTGTAAAACGTTATATCTTTAAACTATTCCACAATTGACTGTGCTGACAATTAGAAGTAACTCATTAAAACCATATTTCCTTTTTTCCATTATTAAATCATTGGGAAATAGACACTTTCAACGAGTTATTCCCCTTTATATGAACTTTAAATACATATCACTACAAATTGCGGTCCAGATATCAACAATAGATTCACGGATTTCAGATTCAATAGAAAATAAGTACCGAGGTGTCCTCAAAAAGTGCCGAAGTAACCAAATGCCGAAAATATTGAGTCAAGTGTGACGTGACGTGCACAATGTTTGACTGAGGCCATGTAATGTCTCTGTAAGTGAGACGTTTGTATTAGATATTACAGTGTCGCAGTCACCAAACGCTCAAATGAGTATACGTATGAGCAGAAAATTTCCGTGTGATATAAATAGCACCATGTAAAACCAAAATTTCGTTCAGACGAAAATTTGTAAAAGTTTAAGTTTCTAAACTTGTTCATGTGAAGATTCGAAGCACATGGCAAGGTAAGTGTTTTGTAAACATTATGTCAAGTAGATATAACGAATAAGATAGGATAGCATGTATGAAACCAAATAAAATCGACTACCGGGGATAGAGGAAGTTGACAGCAAAACCGAAAGTAGGATTAGGCATCAATGATTCATCATTGTTTCAAGTTGAAATAAACGTTTGTGACTCTTCAGATTGTTAAGTTAACTGCAGCTCAATGTCTCTGCAGATTCCGAAGACGTGTCATTTCTATACGTTCCCCATATGTTGTATGATGTATAAAATATCACACGATAAAGTTGCCATTAATAATAATCCACTTGACACCATAGTTACGACAATCCAGACATTCTCATCATCTCTCCTGTCTGACTCCTCACTGTAAAGCTGACTGTCGTAAGTTCTCTTTCTTTCGAATTCCTAGAACCATCCCGTAATGGAATATGTTGCCTCCTGATCTGGTAACTTCAGAATCTTTTGATACCTTTAAAACCAAACTACACTCTTAAAAATCATTAGTATTTCATACACACATCTACACACCCCTCTTTGCCATGCACACACTCTCACAACCCAACAGTGACATACTCTTCAATATGATGAAGTAGGTCAATTATTTGGTAGAAGTATTAAGTATACAGTGTAGCTGTTTCCTAGCAACCCTTATGTTCACAGGTGATGGTGTGGCAGATTTTATTTGTACATAGAAGTACAGTCCCTTTCTAGCTTCGCGCTAGATGGAATTTCCCTTTAGCTTACTGGTATAGCGTCCAACTCCCAACTCTACGTAGACTCTGACTCTAGACTCAGGCCTGCCTACGTGTAGCTCCTTATAAAACAGGAAAATATTCTCCAAAAGTACTTTTAACAATCTACACAACACTAACTACTCATAAACAGGTACCATCTATTGCACAGAAGTAATGAGGCACAATTGCATCAATTTAATCTATCTTCTTAGCTAACTTTCCATTCGGAAACAACAATACTTTTATAAATGTACCATATGGAACAGTTAGCGTACACCTGTCTGTTTTGTAGGTATACATTCTTGTTCCTATCTCCATGTCATCCATGACTGACCTTGCCCCTACTAGATGGATACTGGATAGCCCTTTATAACTCAAACAATGTTAGAAGTTTACACGGCGAGATACTTTTGACAGGTGCCGCGTAAAGCCTGCAGTCACACATTCAGGATTTTTACTGCCGTCCTTGAAAGGACCACTCCCGATTAAAATTTGTCAAAAGTCTGATCAAGATCATGTGATTCGTGGCAGGAAATTCACAAATTTGTGAAAACTTTTATTAAATCATGACAACAATCAGATATTGTTCAGGAAGCGTCACGGTCTTTGCCGTTTCCTGCCGAGTTTGTCCCGATTCTCTCGTTCTCAATCCAAATCTGATCCAATCTGTATCTTGCGCATGGTAAAATGCGATCTGACAGAGATCAGACAGTGACCGGACAGCGAACCGTCGCATTCGGCAAGATCTGGATGCAATCTGGACATAATTGGCTTGAAACGGCAATGACAAATTTCTCCAAATCTTGCCCGTTCATCACGACAGCGTCCCGATCCACACAACACCATCAAGACACCGTCCAGACAACACAGGATATTGTTACGATTTTTGATCCGATACAGCAGAATCTGTCATGACATAGTCACGATTGTAATCCAACTAGACAAATTCGGCTGAGTTTCCCGAATGTTACGGGACACACCTAACTGTCGGGAGTGCTTAGCCGACCTCTTCAGACCATTCCTGATCCGTAGGACTCTGTTACGAACGTATACGACTGTGTTCAGGCAATGATAGGACATTCCAGATCATTGAGGATAGTAATCCGACTTTTTCGCTTTTCGTGTCGTAGCACTGTCTGATCTCAAACAGGAGCCATAATCGGCACTGCGTGAACGCCAAATAACAGTGGGCAAAATCATATCCGATAGAAAAAAGGCCAACCAGCTGCCTCTTATGTTATAGAAGTAGGATAGCCCTATGGCACTATCTACTTTTCCAGTCTCCCGACAGTCAATGCACAGTGTTACCCGAATTCTACGATTTGACCTCAGATGTACATGTTCTTTTGAACAAAGTGCTGGTCTTTATCTTACTATCCTACATGTTATAAGATGGTTCTTTATCATTAATTACCTAATTTAGAGCCCATTTTGTTACATACAGTTGGAAACACTATAATATGATGTGTATATACTATTATAAAGTATCTACACATCATATCAGTGTGTCCAGCCCATGATCAAATATGAAACACAGTTGTTTTTAGTGATTATGATAGCAGGTGTTGTATTAATTTCTTTCTGTATCAAAGGTTTTAGTAGAATTGTTGCAGAATGTACCCAACTCTACTGTAACATAGTGTTTAAAACGAATTTATTGTGTAACAGGCAAGGATAATGAGGGGAAAATATTACCTTACTGGCAATTAACTCATTCACCCCTGAAGACACATTTGAACTCTTCCAAATCAAAGGTTGGAATAATTCATTATGTAACCTTAAGGGGTGAATGATCATGAGTTAAGCTAGTTTTTCTAGTGATGCAGTATAACCCTGGACACGCTCTCTAGTTCAGCAACATCGAGCATAACCTGTGACTGGATGGGTGTCCACCTGCTTGTTACATATGCCATATATATATACATGTACATGGTAGATAATAAGTAAATATACATGTATATATTTATTATCATACATGTACATGTATAGATATAAATATGCCTAGTCAAGTATTCACCGTTCACCTTCAATTATTACTTTATGTGGTCTGTGTCGTGATTTTTGTTGCCATGATAAGTTCATCCCCTTTACATTATTTGTGAAGCATTTAGATTTGGCAGCCTAGGTTAATCAAAACACCCCTGCAGGTGGGGGATCGGGAAAAGAATACACCTGCTGTTACCCACTGCATGAATCATAGGAGGCGACTAATGTGTGAACCCCTTGCAGAATTGGGGATATATGCTTTGGTGTCCTCTATTTGGGGACACAAAACCGACCAAAATAAATCTGCTGCACTCTTTGCAATGTTTGGGATCTTCGTTTTTCTTTCTACTTCTAACTACCTTTTATTTCCTAGCACCTTGCTTGGCAACACCTCACTTTTGGCCTTAATGTTGAGAGTTCGCCTAGGTGAGGAAGGCAATTGGTTCTGTCCCCAGGCCGGGACATCGACATACCAAAGTCCTTAAAATTAGTAGTTGTTATTTCCTGCTTAACATTCAGCATTAAGGGGAATGGCAACAACTGGTTCACCCGTTGTCAGTATAATGTGACCTGGCGGAATGCTGTGCTGGGTGGCTTCGGCATGGTGTTTCAGTGAGATAGCACTATAAAGTTGGCATCAGATCCGCACTATCACAAGGAGGCAAGCACACCAACATATTCTGTCTCCTGCATACACACACGCAAGCACGCATACACTACACATATGGAGGCACGTCGTTAGATGACCTTAGCTGTTAATAGGAAGTTAAACAAAATTAAACCAAACAAAACCAACCTTGGCAAATAATTGTTGTTCACCAGTAAAATCCATTTTTGAAAAGTGTGTTTGTTTTGTCCTTCACTTGTTATTATTACTATATATGGTATACCCCAGATTATTTACTCACCCCTATGTTTAAAAAAGTTGTACTTACAATATTATTGTCTTTTTCCTCAGGTCTCGTGTGACGGAAGAACATTAATGTAGCATATGACACGACTCTTCCACGATGTTGAAGGGATTGAAGCTCAGCAGAAACCTTGAATCATAACATAGATGTTCTGATATAAAAACAAGTAAAAAATATATATATATATACATAAACACATTACTGCAGGAGTGATAAAAATGTACCAGGGGCAATGGCGACAGGTGGCTGTCAGGTGACCTCGAATGACATTGAGGCTGATGCAGTGCCAGTCCATCATTCAGGAATGGATCCAGATGGCCGACACACAGGGTCCTGTATATTTCCCGAAGACAATGCTGTAATGCCTAAGGGGAAGGTTGCCGAAGTGTCAAATTCTCGGCTGTGGCAGAAAAAAACTGGTGATGTTGGGCTTGACTTCCTGAAATCACTGTGGGATTTTTCATCATCTTCGACACCAACATGTCTTGAACCACAAGTTTCTGTTGATGGAGAAAAGCAATCTTTTTCCAAAGCTAAGAGTGAAGAAGAGGATGAATTCTTCCAGAATGATCTAATACATGGGAACAGGGGGCCAAAGAAAGATCATTCTTCCTCTTTAAAAATAAGGGGAAGTAACTCTGATATGCAAAGTCAAAAACCAGATAGGCCAAATATTGTGAATAATCTAGAAGGGCCCCACAATCCCCTTCCAGACAAATCCAAAAGTAGTGCACCAACGAAACCTCCCAGGACAGGAATCAGAAATAGTTACGAGCATGTCAAAGCAGAGGTGTCACTCAATGAAATTGGGATTTCTGATAAAGAATTTGACAATTTGTCAGAAGAAAACTATAGTAAAGATGATATGCTGCATCCAATGTATATTTTGGGTGATTCCGATGGGACAAATATTTTAATTTTTGATGATGATGAACGAGAAAATAATTCCAGTCCACACTACGATGACACAAACTTTGATGTCAAACAAAGAGGTGGGTACGCTAAGGAACATCCACATTTTGAAGGTCATCACAATGAAGATCATACCTATAGAGGTAGTAATTTTGAAGGTCGTACTGGTAATAACAAAGGACAAAACTACAGAGAGGGGAACAAACCTTTGGAAGAAAGCGACTTTGCAGACTATCAAAGACAGGATGCAGGCAATTACAGAAGTTTTGAAGCTGAAGCAAACTTGCCAAAAGAAATGCTTCCTCCGGGACCAGACAATAGGATGCAAATTTCAGATAGGGGAGGAAACCCTGAAGCGAACCCTTTTATGAACACTTTCTCTGAGGAAATAGCATACGGAAATTCTGGTGGAATAGGGAGTTATTCATCTGAGTTACCTAACAGAAGACCGCACAGCTCACATGAGCATTCAGAGACTTGTCACGATGGAAACCCTATGCCTGCAAAAGGAACAACCAGAAATATGCAGCAAAGCCGCCAAGCTCTCCTGATTAGAAAAGGTAATACATTATTATTTCATTATGAAAAGTATATCAGAGTTAGATACTAGCTTTTTTGGCTTGATTATTATTTACCGTATTGCAGCATTTTTCTGCGGGAATGGTACTTTAGTGATTTTGCAGGTTAATATTGTGATCTCAAAATTATGGTCCACAGAATAATAAAACATGCGTAAAAATGAGCCGCGATAATACACTTCATAACTGTAAGGTCTTCATGAATAGCAAGCACATGGTTATGATGATTCATATACATAAAGAAGTCATGATGTGTGAAAATAGGTAATATCACACATCTAATAGTTTTGTTGAGAATTTGTGTAACAAAACACACATAATATTTGTTGCAGCTCAATATGCTGTTAAAAAGCCTATTCATTTGATTGTTTAACACTTTATAGGCTGAGTGTCCGTTCTCTGTGCTAAAATTAACACAGCAAAAATTTTGAGTTTTGAAACTTTGAGTAACACAGACAAGTTAGTTGAGAGACCTCCGTTTCATTGGAAGTGCAATAAGAGTTCTCTTAAAACACAGGTGGTCTATTAATACAGATGGTCTCTTAACACAGGTGGTATATTAACACAGGTGGTCTATTAATACAGGTGGTCTATTAACACAGATGGTCTCTTAACACAGGTGGTTTATTAACACAGGTGGTCTATTAACACTGATGGACTCTTAACACAGGTGGTCTATTAACAGAAGGTCTCTTAACACAGGTGGTCTATTAACACTGATGGACTCTTAACACAGGTGGTCTATTAACAGAAGGTCTCTTAACACAGGTGGTCTATTAACACAGATGGACTCTTAACACAGGTGGTCTATTAACAGAAGGTCTCTTAACACAGGTGGTCTATTAATACAAATGGTCTCTTAACAGGTGGTCTATTAACACAGGTGGTCTCTTAACACAGTTGGTCTCTTAACAAAGGTGGACTCTTAACACAGGTGGTCTATTAATACAAGTGGTCTCTTAACAGGTGGTCTATTATTACAGGTGGTCTCTTAATACAGGTGGTCTATTAACACAGATGGTTTCTTAACACAGGTGGTGTCTTAACACATGTGGACTCTTAACACAGGTGGTCTATTAACACAGATGGACTCTTAACACAGGTGGTCTATTAACACAGGTGGTCTATTAACAGATGGTCTCTTAACACAGTTGGTCTCTTAACAAAGGTGGACTCTTAACACAGGAGGTCTATTAACAGAAGGTCTCTTAACAGGTGGTCTATTATTACAGGTGGTCTCTTAATACAGGTGGTCTTTTAACACAGATGGTTTCTTAACGCAGGTGGTATCTTAACACAGGGGGACTCTTAACACAGGTGGTCTATTAACACAGGTGGTCTATTAACAGATGGTCTCTTAACACAGGTGGTCGATGAACACAGATGGTTTCTTAACACAGGTGGTGTCTTAACACATGTGGACTCTTAACACAGGTGGTCTATTAACAGATGGTCTCTTAACACAGGTGGTCTATTAACACTGATGGACTCTTAACACAGGTGGTCTCTTAACACGGTTGGTCTCTTAACAAAGGTGGACTCTTAACACAGGAGGTCTATTAATACAAGTGGTCTATTAACAGGTGGTCTATTAATACAAGTGGTCTATTAACAGGTGGTCTATTAATACAAATGGTCTCTTAACAGGGGGTCTATTAACACAGGTGGTCTATTAATACAAGTGGTCTCTTAACAGGTGGTCTATTAATACAAATGGTCTCTTAACAGGGGGTCTATTAACACAGGTGGTCTCTTAACACGGTTGGTCTCTTAACAAAGGTGGACTCTTAACACAGGAGGTCTATTAATACAAATGGTCTCTTAACAGGGGGTCTATTAACACAGGTGGTCTATTAACAGATGGTCTCTTAACGCAGGTGGTCTATTAACACAGATGGACTCTTAACACAGGCGGTCTATTAACAGAAGGTCTATTAACACAGGTGGTCTATTAATACAAATGGTCTCTTAACAGGGGGTCTATTAACACAGGTGGTCTATTAACAGAAGGGCTCTTAACACAGGTGGTCTATTAATACAGGGGGTCTCTTAACACAGGTGGTCAATTAACAGAAGGGGTCTTATAAGAAGGTCTCTTAACACAGGTGGTCTATTAACACTGATGGACTCTTAACACAGGTGGTCTATTATCTCAGATGGTTTCTTAACACAGGTGGTGTCTTCACACATGTGGACTCTTAACACAGGTGGACTATTAATACAAGTGGTCTCTTAACAGGTGGTCTATTAATACAGGTGGTCTCTTAACACAGGTGGTCTATTAACACAGATGGTTTCTTAACACAGGTGGTATCTTAACACAGGTGGACTCTTAACACAGGTGGTCTATTTATACAAGTGGTCACTTAACAGGTGGTCTCTTAACACAGGTGGTCTCTTAACACAGGTGGTCTATTAACACAGGTGGTTTCTTAACACAGGTTGTCTCTTAACACAGGTGGTCTCTTTCATGTTCCATACCTGTTAATCAAGTAGGCTAGTTATTTTCTCACACCCTCTCCCTATCCTATACTGATCTGTTCCCATAATGTACAAGGGCAAGGGGAAGTAAAACTAACCTGCAGACTAGTTGAATTACTTTCTTAACTAGACTGTAGTTAACTCATTCACCCCTGAAATTTCATAATGAACTATTCCAACCTTTAAATTTGAAGGGTTCAAATGTATCTTCGGGGGTGAAAGAGTTAAGTAAAATAGTAAGTGTCTAACCCTGGGAGGTGGTCATATGGGCAGCGTTGACTACAATTTACCACTGTGTGACTACTGTATATCCTCTAATAAGCCCAGGGGCCAATACAAATCCCTCACTCAAAGCAGGGGGGCTGGACTTATAGCAGGACAATGAAACACTTTTTCTTTCAATCTCTATTAAGGTAAAGTTTACCAATGCAGTGGCGGATCCAGACACCTATCTAGGGGGTTTCCAAATTTCCTGGGAGGGGGGGGTTCCATGTGGGGAAAAATTGAGGAAAGTGGTGAAAATATATGATTGTTAAAGGAAATTCTCAGGGTGGGGGGGGGTTTCCTGAAGCCCAGAAAACCCCTCTGGATCCGCCACTGCAATGCATCAGTTATAATTGTGAAGAAGAGTTCCACTCTGAGTTGTTTTTCTTTTGGGTATTCTCCCTTTGATTTGTGACCTATACAGTGAACACTCATTTCTTTGCTGTGTATGTATAATTCCTGTATGGCAAGGTTGGTAAAGTGACCATATTATTCTTTGGAACCTTATCCCTTTGATTTGTGGCCTATACATTAGACACTTATTTCTTTTAGGTATTCTCCCTTTGAGTTGTGATCTATACATTAGACACTCATTTCTTTTTGGGTATTCTCCCTTTGCTTTGTGACCCATACATTGGAAACTCATTTCTTTTGGGTATTCTCCCTTTGATTTGTAACCTATACATTGGACACTCATTTCTATGCTGTGTATGTATAATTCCTGTATGGCAAGGTTGGTAAAGTGACGATATTATTCTTTGGAACCTTATGCAAGTTATATAAAAATCATAACTTTTACCTATAAAATCACAGGTAGATTACAGGTAAAATATTTCAGGTAAATATAGTACATATATGATATAAACTATAATTACTCTCCCTTTGATGTTTTTTACCTATTGTTCTAAAGATGTATGTGTTCAGGGAACACCCCAGTAAAGTGTAGGCTGTATGTTCAATGTCTATGTCCAGATTTTGACCCCTGAATGGTTTTTTTTGTGTCAATTCTTTCAATTTCTATTTAACAGGATTACAATTCTGTAAAATGGGTAGCAACATCTGTTTTTAATGGAAAATTGACAGTAGTGAAAATGGTAATGATATAATTTAACTAGTTCAACGTATTATTTACTTTAAAGTGTTCACAGATTTGGCTGGGCTTATTACGAGGCATGCTGGCTGATTGATGGAAAAATATGTTACATACACCCATTGATCAAAGATATAATTCATAATTTTATCAGGATATATCAATATTTGCATTTTTTTTTATTTAGAAAAAAACAAAATGAAACCGATCTCGAAATATATTAAAATAAAATTGAAAAAAATATATATAATAGAAAATATGTTACAAACACCCTTTGATAATTATTATAACAGGATATATCTTACAAGAGACCTGTCAATATTTGCATTTTTTTTATTTAGAAAAAAAAAATGAAACCGATCACGAAATATATTGAAATATAATTGAAAAAAAAAGTTAGAAAATATCAAAGTTAGCTTACAACTTCAGGCTGAATAGCGACTGTGTTTAACTTTGAACAGGACCAACTACTGGGAGTTATCCTCCCAAGGCCGTCATTTATTCACATTGTCGGGGTAAGTAGTGTTTGACTTGAAACTTTTGACAAGGCCTTAAAAAGTACTTAAGGTGAATTACTATATGCTTATGACTCTAAAATTCTACTTCATTCTCCTTTTTGTAAATTCTTTTTTCAGGAAAGTTATTAAATAAAGTTGTTCCATCTCTTCATTTCTCATCCGCTGACGTTATATGTGAATTTAGGGATTTTGTGGTCAGATTTTATTTTCAGGCCCATAACTGCATGGGTATACAAATATGTATTGAAATTTTTTATCATCTATTTATAAATTTATAATTTGTATTTCTCTGTCTCATCCATAATTTGTACATTGAGGATAGGCATAGTAAAATCCTTCTGAGCTTAAAGTTGTAAGCGCTTTAGCATACCTTATCTGAATTGTCCTTAAGTCTTTGTTTGAAATCATGATTGGGAAACTGCCATACATATTCAATAAATCCTGGTACACAGGGAAATTTGTCTAGCCTTTCATAACCAATGCATGCTAACAATTTACAAGGGCATGTTCTCCAATAATTCAAAAGGATTTCCCTCTAATAATATTTTCAAAAAAACCCATATTTCTGTACAAAGATTCTGTGTTGGGAAAGATGCCTAACTTATCGTGAGTGATGTTTTTGGGTGTTAATTGCAACCTGTTGTATAATGCATGGATCTATCAACTTTCTCACTCATCTGTCTGGAAATTAAAGGCTGGCTTTAATTTCACTTCAGAAAAAAATCACTTTGTATTATCAAGGTTTCATATATAACAAGGGTGAGAAAATGTTTGTGGAATAAATATAAATGAATACCCATTTCCGAATCCTAACTTTGGTATGCTGTACATATCCCATGGAATACCGTCTTCGATATTCGAGGGGTTATCATCTCACTTACGCTCTCTGCAACCCTGGAATATGTCATAGCAAGATTGAAGGTTCAGTACATCTACAGAATCTTGCAGTACAATTTGCTGACTTTTAAGTCGGGTGTGTCGCTGTTCTGTAATCTTCCAATGTTAGGTATCAGTCTAGCAATGGGTCATTTTGTTTTCATCTGAGACCAATCAAATAGCTTTCTTTGTGCCTTCAATTTTGGTACGACATATTCCAGGGAACGAAAGTGACTGTAACCACTGGAGTATCGAGGATGGCGGTATGCAAACATCATGGACTGGTTATATCTATTCTACTACATCAAATGTAATGAGCAGCATTTCAAAAGTGTAAATTATAGTAGTGTTCCGGCGTAGGAACTTGACTGGTTATCACATTGAGTAACGTTAATGTTGCTCCAGAATATCCACACACAAATATATATTGTACATATAAATTACAGATATATGGAATATATATATATATATTGCAGAACCATTGGAAAATTAATGCAAACATGTTGACCCTGCGAACAGTTTATAGAGCCCCAAGAACAACACACCACACACGATAATTTCCACTGATTTTGGAACAGCATTTGTGATTGGTGCATTATCAAGTAATCTGTGGTTGATGACCAATGAAAACTGTTGTTACATCGTTGACATATGGTTGTGTTTGATGTCAATTAATGTTGTCTGGATACTTTTGTTTTCATTTTGAAAGAAATCACATCATAATTAAATCATTCATTTCATATCACATCAATAATGTCATTCCTGCATTAACAAAATGTCCAGCCTCATTAGTGTTTTATTTTGTTTTTGTGATTTATTTTTACTGTAGCATTTCATTTAAAATTTTGAAACTAAAACTAATCTTGACTGATCCATTTTAAATTTGTTAATATTGATACAAAATAATCTTTTAAAAGTGACATTTACAGTCAAACTTTGGTGTTTTGAACTTTGCTGGACCATCATGAAAAATTTGAAGCATCAGGACTTTGACACACGAATATTGAACCTCAAACATCAAGATCATGTTCATAAGACAGGATGTGATTCGTATGTGACAAAACATGCACAAACTCAAAAATTTAGTTTTAAATGTATAAATAATAATATACATTTACAGAAATACCAATAGCATTTGTATTGACACACTGTAATTATATATAACTTTCATTGTGATAAAATGCAACATTTCTGGGTTTGTCATTTAAATGTCTGTGAAGGTGTTAAAATGAACGCGGGATATTTCTTTTTTCTTGTACAAGTAAATTTTATTATTAGTGTAATATAAGGACATTGCTGTTAGTTGGACACATTGAGAAACTAGAATCTTCTAAGTTCGATTTATAGTTTGACTGTATGATATGAAGTTGTTAATATCATGACTATGATGTTATACCCTGACAAATGATGACAAAGTTATACCAGGGTTAATTCATTCACCCCTGAAATTTCATAATGAACTATTCCATCCTTTGATATGGGAGGTTTCAAATGTGTGGGTGAAAGAGATAATTCAGGGTGCATATTGGATTGTTACGCACACTCGCCTTTCACCAAGACAATAGAAGGCTCAATTCACGATTAGACATGAAAAGGTATGGGGTCACCTGCCAGATCACTAGGGTTTACTCCGGGTACCTCGGGTTCTCCCTCATTAACACCCCCTGTGCACAACCATCCAGGCCAACAAGACTGATTAATATATTTACAGTTTAATTTTTAAAACGAATGAAGAGAAGAAAGAAGAAGAGGAAGAGAGAGAGAGAGAAAAAAAGACATTGTTATCTATCAATGTATCAGCAACGTCATGATCCTATGATATGATGTTGATTTATTTATCTTTTACAACCATTATGATAACCTAGAGAAGGTTATTCTTTTGTTTAGGGGGAATAATTCTGATATGCATGATTTTGCTGAAATTATGATATAAGTTTCTATTTGAGATAGATTAATTTTGGTACACATTAATTACTACACACAATGATACATCATATCAATAAGGACTGGTCCCCCTATCTGTTTTCCATTCCATTTGTTCTAAACATTAATTTCTTTGAAATGAAATGATGAATGGTGAATATAATTATTCTGATACAATATGTCACTGTACGATGAATGTTCACTTGATTATAGCAGAGTCATATGTCATAATTTGTATTTCCTAGAAACTCCTGTACATACATACGTTAAACCACTTTCTACCCAGTGTAAACCCTTTCAACACTTTAATTGACAAACTGTCTGGATAAGTATAAGCCCCTTTTTGATATTTCAACAAAGTATTATTGTAAGCCCTTTTTGATACTCTGATGCAATCTCCATGTATTAAACCTTATGATTTTCGATACTTTCAGTCTCGCATGTAAGTTCCTTTAATGCCTTGAGTCTCTATGTAAGCTCCTTTAATGCCTTGATGCTTAATTGAGTCTCTATGTAAGCCCTTTTCATGCTTCCACACAGAGTTCATGTAAGTCCCTATTCATGCTTTCACAGTACATTCTCTATGCAAGTTCCTTTGATACTTTCCCACACAATCTCAAATGTAAACCCCCTTTTCTGCCTTGACATATTTCCCAGTACACTTACTATAATGTAAACCCCCTTCTCTGCCTAGACAATTATTTCCCAGTGCATGTGCTATGTAAACCCCCTTTTTTCCCTTGCCAATTATTTCCCAGGACAATTACTATAATGTAAGCCCCCTTCTCTGCCTTGACAGTTATTGCCCAGTACACTTACCATAATGTAAACCCCCTTCTCTGCCTTGCCAATTATTTCCCAGTACAATTACTATAATGTAAACCCCCTTCTCTGCCTTGACAATTATTGCCCAGTACACTTACTATAATGTAAACCCCCTATTTTGCCTTGACATATTTCCCAGTACATGTACATGTACTATATAAACCCCCTTTGCTGCCTTGACATATTTCCCAGTACACTTACTATAATGTAAACCCCCTTCTCTGCCTTGCCAATTATTTCCTAGTACAATTACTATAATGTAAACCCCCTTCTCTGCCTTGCCAATTATTTCCCAGTACAATTACTAAAATGTAAACCCCCTTCTCTGCCTTGCCAATTATTTCCTAGTACAATTACTATAATGTAAACCCCCTTCTCTGCCTTGCCAATTATTTCCCAGTACAATTACTAAAATGTAAACCCCCTTCTCTGCCTTGCCAATTATTTCCAAGTACACTTACTATAATGTAAACCCCCTTTGCTGCCTTGACATATTTCCCAGTACAATTGTACTATGTAAACCCCCTTCTCTGCCTTGACATATTTCCCAGTACATGTACTATGTAAACCCCCTTGACACTGTTACAGTGAATATAGTGTATCTAAACACATCAAGATTTTAGAGTATGTTATAAAGTATCTGGTGCTTACATTAGTTTGTTGCTTATTAATATTTATAAAAACTGCATTTGTTTTGGGCCTATGTTTTGGAGATGTGAATAACCTTGTACTTTAAGGTTTTGAAGTGTGTATAATTTGTCTGGTGCTTCAGTTTAAGAGTGTGCTGTTTCAAGGTGTTTAGCTAATAACTAATGGGAACTTCTTTCAGTCTCGTAAAAAAAAGCATATAATAAGAGAGCAACCCCCCCCCCCCCCCTCCCCCCAGGAATCATCAGCTTATAAAATGTTGAAATAGAACACTAGGATGTGTTGTTTTGAGACTGGAGTGTTAGCTCTTACACATATTAGTCGGTGGCTAAATCAGGGGCAAAGATTTTGAAATTTTAAACGTAACTAATCGGATCATTTATTCGTCAGGTTGTGGAAACTGTCAGATTTGTCGAGAAACAAAAATGATCGACCACATGGAGAAGCTGGCCGACAGTGCTGGATTTGATATTCACGATGTCCTTCCTGACGGAAACTGCATGTTCCGAGCAATCGTCGACCAACTCCGGATGCGTGGAGATCTAAGTATGACAGCCGGAAAACTGCGACAAAATGTTGTTCGTTACTTGAGGGAGAATCCCTGTAGTGAAGATGGGACACACATGCAAATGTTTTTACCAACGGAGAAATGGGAGGATTACCTCTCTCGTATGGAAAAAGATGGCGAGTGGGGAGACGAAATGGCTCTAAGGTAAAAATGGGGATTATAGAATACTCGGAAAGTTGATTTGACATTGAACTGTGCTTTTACGAAGCATATTAGTGCTTGATTATACATGTATCAGAGCCCTTATTCATGATAATATTCTTGTGTTCCAACTCAGATTCTTTCCTCAAGCCCAATTCCTTGTTCCGATGAGAGATTAATTAAAATATAAATTGTGATGATTTGGCTTTAAGCATATTTTCTTTTTAAATACAGTATTTACATTTGATTTTTTTACCATGTCACATGATTTAAGCAAGGTAGAAAAAAGTTGGTTTGAGCACAGAATTCATGCTTGAGCGCAAGAAAGGTTTCATGAATTAATACTGGCCCGTGTTACAATAAAATTGTCTTTTTATTGGTCTGTTAAAAAGGTCATGTGATGGCCTGATTTGTATAATAGGGTTAATAATTTTTCTGCTCATTATAAATGCGTACCATCAAAATCTGTCAAAACCTGGCTTGTCCTTAAATGACCATGTCTGTTACAAGAGTGCAAAGCACAAACTTCTTTGCTGATCAATTCACAGTTAAAGTTTGTATTTTTTTAAAGCATTAGTGATGGCACTTTCAAAACTTTAATAAATAAATTTTAAGTCAATTTCGCTAGATACAAGACTGATGGAAACTTAGAATCTGTTTAATTATTGCAGGGGAATTTCTGAGGTAGTACAGCGTCACATCAATATCATCAGTGCCTTAGGCAGTGACCAACACAATCAAATCACCATACAACCTAGTGGGGTTGAAGCCGACCAATCACAGGACTTGTTTTTAGGGCACATGGACGACTACCATTACATAAGTCTGCGACCAAAGAACTGGGAAGATACCTGGTTTGTTAGTGAGTATGATGGTATTCTAGCTTACTAATGCTTAGTTTCTCTTGTTTAGGTTCGGTTGGTTCCGTCTATCCCTTGCCCGGATACCACCCGGTATGCAGGGTGATTGAAGAATATGGAAAAATTATGCTTAAATTTTATGCATTTATATATTTCAAAGTGACCTAGCTCAATTTAAATTAATTAATGGATAGTAGTTTGTACCTTAATTTGTCAATTATGATTTTCGGGAATTAGTCATATTTTATCTTTCAAATGAAAAACACTCATTCACCCCTATTTAACAAGACTCATGGATATTTAACTTATTTTAGGCCTGAAGAAGACATTGAACTCTTTCACCCCTGTATTTCAATTATGGATTGTGATATCTTTTGATTTGGAGCAGTGCAAATACATCAATAGGTGTCAATGGGCTATAAGAACAGATTCCCAACATAAAATCTTTTTTTTTTTGCAAAATTATGGGCATAACCTTTGACCTCTGATGTTGTCAGGAGCCCGACGGAATCTTCAGCAGACCAAACCGAAGACTGACCTGTACGCGGACGACTCTATACGCGTGTCAGGAATGGACGCCCCTGTCATGGGACATGGTATGTAACGAACGTATTTTTGTGGTAACTTTAATAGTGGTAGTTTTATTTCAATGGTAAGTAATTATCTAAAACTAATGAACTTTGTCTAATTCAAGTCGTAACCATTGATATAAAAATAGAGAATTGCAGTCTAATTTTAAAGGGATCTATGTATCGGAAAACAAAAACTAATAGTTTATCGTACCTAATTGTTTTTTATTTCTTTAAGAATGCTACCTGACTCTCTTTGTAAAAGAATTTTAAGGACCATGTAAACAACTACCAAAAATCACTTTAAATTTTCCTAGTATAAAAATCATAAAATGATGATTTTCGTCTTTTGTTCAGATCATCTAACATGAAATTATCTTTCACAAATAAGGACACATATATATTGCTTTAGTCTTTAAGATGTGACTTTTTTCAAAATGATTTTCCAGTATAATTTGCAAAATTCCAAATTTTGTTTTACTGCGACACAGTTTTCCAATTCCAAAGCCAAAATACTGCCATTAAACATGATATATCTGGGGGCTAAGGTTTGTTATAACTAAGTCACAGTGACCTATTTCTTCTATTCCGCTCTCTTGGCCACAAGTCCTTTGCATTTTCATGAAGAATTATCAAACCCTTTTTATTCTTTTGATTTTTCACAATTAATTTGTCTTCCTCTTTTGTTCTTTCTTTTTTCACTATATACTATGCTGCTAAAAACCTATGAATTTAGGTCTTGGTGACCGTCAAAGNAAAAAATAACAGAGAAATAAAAAGATAAATAAAAATAAAGATAAATATAATTAAAGATAAATACAAATAAATATAAATATAAATTGTGGCTTAGTTAGTTGCTTTCAGTGGTTTAGAATCAAGACACCACTCATTTACACTATTTGCTTCACAAAGGAAACAGACATTTTTTAAAGCTCGCAAATTTTGTTTTCAATTTCTGTTTGTGTTCAAACTTAAGCAATTTAAAAGGTCTATTGAAAAATAGATTTATTTAAGATTCACTGAACCAGACCTTGACCAAGAAAATTTTACATGACATAATACAGATTAATTACAAAAATATGTGTGTAGCAGAACTGGACTGGGTTGATGGTCAGCGACCTGCAGGTAGCTCAATTGCTAGAGTGTCTGTCTAAAGTTTTGGGGGGCAAGGTTCGAACCCCGGTCTAGCTGTACCTTTTTCCATCTCCTGTTAGATGTGTAATAGATTGCATTTATTAAAGACTGTATGGATAAAAGGAAATATTTTGATATTTTTTTTTTAGATTGTGTGGATGACTATTTTGCTGACGATACCGCTGTGGACAAGGTCAGTGCTACACCCATTGGTCATCTGTCTTATGTCCTGAAGAGCGTCCTTAACAGCAAAAACTTGGTGGTCAAGGACCCCCAGATGTGGGAGGATAAGATGGCAAGCTTAAATGATCACCCTCGCTCCAGTACTGTCGCCATAGCTGTTGGAAGTATTGTAGAGAAATTTGCAGTTTCTGTACAGGATACATCGCCGGTGCAAATTGGATACTCGTTACGGAAAGATAAGAGTTCCGCTTCCTATGTAAAAGATGTCAGTCCGCAGGTTCTGATACTATACCCATACTATCATGTCATGGAACATGATTCAGATGAAAGACATTCACATAAAGACATGGTTATGGACACGAATGGAATCCATTCTGGATATCTCCGCCTTCGGGACACTATCAAACAATCTAGTTTAAACAGTCAAGGACAGGTACTTGTAAATTATCTGCCTAATTCCTCTTTGGCAACATCCAGTGTCCGAAGGGATCTGGGGAGTGTCCAAATTCCTAAATTTGTAGAGGATAATATATCTCTGCAATATGCATTAGAATGTCATTTCTGGCCTGAATGTGCCTCTGAGTGGAAAACACGTGAGCGACCCAGCGGCTGGCCTAAGCCGGAATACCAAAAGAGTATTATCGAGGATGGTTTTTTCGTCATTGCTGCCTCTCATCCACATAGTCTTAATCCGGATTTGGAATATCAGATCTGCTTCGGAAAAGCTGAGAAGTTATTGGCAAGGAAAAACATGACAAAATGGCAGCGTTATTGTTTCCATATTTTCAAAGTTTTGGTAGATTTTTACACAAGACAAACAGACTTGCTGCAGACTCATCATCTCAAGGCAATCTTTTTCTACGCAAGCGAGGTCGTTCCTCGAATTCAGTGGCGACTCAACCCGGGTGCCGCCCTTTTGTATCTGATGGACCAGCTTCTGCAGTGTCTGCGAACCAAGGTATTACCACATTATTTCCTCCGTGACAGTAACATGATTGACCATTTCAGTGAGGACACCCTGCAGAGAACGATTACCCATCTGGAGGTGGTGCGTCAGTTTCCAGTCACTGCCGTTGTCTTGCTTGCCGAGAGCCATGGACTGACCAGCAGTTGGATGTCAGATCCCATTATTGAAGACATCCCTGCCTTCACCAAGCACAGAGACCTGCAAAAATCCTTTGCAGAAGTGTTCATACCGACAACTCTGAAAAATGCCATCAATTATGTCAAGTACATGATGTTTAAGCCGGCGGCTGACATTATAATGGAAGCCTATGAGGACATGAAGAGCGCCAGTGAAGCAACTCCGGACTCCAGAAACGAATGGGGAGTGGGAGACATCTTTGAGTTCATACATCAGATTCTCTCTGAACTGCATTTCTTCCAACAGTTCTGGCTATGTCTCATTCTAGATTTGACGCACGGTACTTCTACAGTGGGAGCACTGACACAGAGATTGCCAGGAAAAACCATCCGAGAGATTCTTGGCAACGACGAAGATGGTGAACTAGATACGATTTCAGTCCCGTTCTCCGTAATGGACAACTGCTTTACTTCGAAGGCAGTATCTGAGGATGAATCAGATCCAGAAGTTCTTTTTATACGCAGTCTTGCCAGTCATCTTGAAAGTATCCAGTTCTATGATCTTTCTGCTCATTACTTACGAGCAGCTGTAAGTCTGATGAAGCGCCAGATCGCTGAAATCACAAAAAGTCATCAGTTGTCAACACAAAGGGGAGAACTGAGTGACATTAGTCAGCAGAGACCTAAATTAAACAGTGCTGAATTCTCACGACAACAGGTGCTAAAAATGCATCTGAATAACTTTCTGGTGCAGCTGTTCAATAACTACCACTACAACGGCCAGACAGAACTGTTTCAGGAATATATTGGAGATCTACAGGAAGTTTGTGATTCAATCTCCACACCATATGCCTACAAGAACCTCTCCCGGATCTGGGGCTACCTCGGCTGCGACGACATGGCACAGCAAGCGTCCGACAGGATGGAAGAGCTGTATCAGCTTTTTGGCATGTGAATTTGTGAATTAGTGACCCAATCTTTTGACTTTTCAGATGTTCTCTTTTTCATCTGAGAAAAAGAAAATGTACTGTATTATATCTTGCAATAGGGGGCCAACACAATGTCATATTGTTAGGGGCCAACACAATGTCATATTGTTAGAGGGCCAATACAATGTCATATTGTTAGGGGCCAACACAATGTCATATTGTGAGGGGTCAACACAATGTCATATTGTTAGAGGCCCAACACAATGTCATATTGTTAGGGGGCCCAACACAATGTCATATTGTTAGAGGACCAACACAATGTCATATTGGTAGGGGGCCAACACAATGTCATATTGTTAGGGGGCCAACACAATGTCATATTGTTAGAGGGCCAACACAATGTCATATTGTTAGAGGGCCAATACAATGTCATATTGTTAGAGGACCAACACAATGTCATATTGTTAGGGGCCAACACAATGTCATATTGTTAGAGGGCCAATACAATGTCATATTGTTAGAGGGCCAATACAATGTCATATTGTTAGGGGCCAACACAATGTCATATTGTTAGAGGCCCAACACAATGTCATATTGTTAGGGGGCCCAACACAATGTCATATTGTTAGAGGCCCAACACAATGTCATATTGTTAGAGGACCAACACAATGTCATATTGGTAGGGGGCCAACACAATGTCATATTGTTAGGGGGCCAACACAATGTCATATTGTTAGAGGGCCAACACAATGTCATATTGTTAGAGGACCAACACAATGTCATATTGGTAGGGGGCCAACACAATGTCATATTGTTAGGGGGCCAACACAATGTCATATTGTTAGAGGGCCAACACAATGTCATATTGTTAGGGGGCCAACACATGTCATATTGTTAAGTTCAATTTAAAGAATGGAGAGGGTTTATTCAAGGACAATGAAAAAGCATTTGTTGGTATTTCTACTGAACTATATATGTGTGGGCTTATTACCAGGCATGGACTTATTGCTGGATAAATACGGTAATAGAATGCAGGTGACCGGGTGGAAGAGCTATTCCCTCACCCTTCACAGGTGTGTCTCCCGTTTTAGCCGGGAAAGATCCGCTTGTCACCTCCTAGGGGGAGACAGCCTTGTGCCGATTAGCACATGTTCAATTGTGGCGTCATTAAAACGCGTCACCGGTAATTGAGATGTCATCAAAAGTGAATGACGATATTCATACCTCACATGTGTTTTTGTTTACACTACTTATAATAGGATGGGAGAAAAAAATCATTATCTACCTTAAGGGTGTAATATAGAAATCCCTCGGGGTGATATTTTATGGTTGTCTAACCCTGATCGGCAGAGCCTTGGGTTAGACAACCAAAAAACATAACCCCTCTGGTTGGAGATTTCTCTGTCACACCCACAGGGTAGGGGAAGATTCTATTTTTCCAGTTATATGTCATGTGAGACAGTGTTAAACAGTTCTTGCAAATTCCGGTTATAAAGTTTCTTAGCTTTGATAAAGTATCAAGAACAGCAGACTGCATGAAAGAGTATCACCACAGCATATTGGCATGTGATCTTCAGTGATTTGATACGAAACATTAAGCTTGTATCTCTCAAAGACATTTGCTTTTTTGCTTGATGCAAAGATTAGCTGACAGAATTGGAGTTGTTCCATCTTAATTCTGAAATCTTTCGTAATAATTACAAAATTAGCTTTCTTATAACATAAAATGATGCAGGCAGAGGTCTTAAGGATTTTTGTGTCAACAAATTTTCTACCAGAAATGCAACCATAAATAAACAGGAATTTAATCTGTCCTTACTGAAACACTACATGCTGTGGGCTATAGACCTGAAATCTGCCAAAAAAACACCTGTGAAGCTTACAATTTTACCAAATCGGCAAAAATTAGGGATTATGAAAAATACAACCCAACAGCAACCAGCTGGTATTTACCAGACATTTTAGTTTTTCTGTACAAGCTTTAGACTGATACTGTGTACAAACATGCAAATTACAGAAAGTCAATCTTGTTTATAATCCTATCTTTTTTGCCCCAGACATTCCAAGGAGTATCTGAATATGAGGTTTAATGAACTAAAAAACATTAAAGATCCCTGTCCCACTTTGCTGTTGTTTTTTTCCTATTTACAGCAACCTCCCTTTCTATCTAAATGTTATACTCCACAAAATTATTTTAATGCATTATTTTGCTTCTGTTGAGATGTAACTGTAATCTGAAGTCCAGAGTTCAAATCCCAGGGACAAATAGGAGAAATAGAGGTAAAACCTTTCAAGTCCTTCTTCTACTGTAGGGATTAAGGGATTTTATTCTAATTTAGTCTGAAGCATTCTTGGGCCAAGGGGACTCAATTTTGTATAAACAGTGGATGGGGCCCCCATGGGGGCAGTGGGACTGGGCTGAATAGGGGTAATAGAGGTAAAACCTTTAAAACCCTTCTTCTACCTTAGGGATTAAGGGATTTTATCCCAATTTAGTCTGGAGCATCCTTTGGCCAAGGGGACTGAATTTTGTATAAACCGTGGGTGTGGCCCCCCTGGGGGCAGAGGGGCTCGGCCAAACAGGGAAAATAGAGGTAAAACCTTAATTATTCTTCTACCGTAGGGATTAAGGGATTTTATCCTAACTTAGTCTGAAGCATAGTTGGGCCAAGGGGACTCAATTTTGTAAAAACTGGGTGTGGTACAGGGTTCCTTAAAAGTTACAGATTTTGGCAGTGGTACAGGGATCCTTAAAAGTAGCCCATTCCACACCTCCATGTAACACAGCGTATATAAAGGCTCTTTTTAGAACACCATCATCAGATGGTGGGCTATCCAAATCACCCTGTGTCTGTGGTCTGTTGTCTGTCTGTCATTCCGTCTGTCCTAAACAATTCTTGTTATTGAGCCACGAAAATAAATAGAACGAATTTGAATGATACTGTTACTGTTTGTTAATATGGGATATCCACAAAAGTTTGTAACACGGAACAATCTAAATGGCTTCAAACCACGAAGGAAAGTATCCACGAACATTTCGTGTTATACAGCATACAGAGTATAGAATGCCCCTTTGTTCGCTGTACATCATTTTGTTCAGGGTTATATATATCATACACGTTATCACCTACAGTTGGCAAATTTTATATGTTTGTACTTGCTTTGCTTATGGAGTGACATGAACTGAAATCAGGTCTCGTGTCCAATTACTGTATTTATGGAGTTATGTCCCTTTGTATTTTTTGTAACTGAAGTTTGCTTGCAATGCTATGCTTTGCTACTCATTCAACCCTACATATTTAAACTGGACTTGCCTAATCTATGATTTTGTAAGGTTCAAATGTGGCTTTAGGGGTAATGGGTTATTCTATGCAATATTCTAATTTTAATTTGGTTTTAGGAATTGATACCTTAATATCAAATGTTGACCATTATATTAGATATAAATGAGTGGACAACCCCATAAATTGTCTACAAGGATTTATAAAGCATGTGTGTGTTTTCCTGAAGAACATGTTTGGTATAAATATTTTTGATTACTTAGATTCAGTACCAACGTGTATGTAGTATTTAACCAACCCATCCTTCCATACTTCTTCATGAACATGTTATGTTGCATTACAATGTATGTGAGGTTATAGAAAGATTTTTAAACATTCAAGAAAAGTAATCATGTTTAACTAGAATTTTTGATTGGTGTTTCATGCAAATTTACATGGATACAATTAAAGCATGAAATCTAGGGTAAACTATACATTGAGCAAACTCATGCTAAAGTATATCAAAATCCATACTGTGTCCTCAGGGCTGACACCATCCTTGGTACTCCAGGGGTTACGCTCATTTATGCTCTCTGCACCCATGGAATATGTTAATTTTACCATTATACAATCACAGGATTCTTCATCAAAGGATCACACTTGTCTTCTTGTCTCATCCACAAGGTCGCGAGTTTAGAGCCTTCCATTTCATCATGACATAGTCCAGGGGTGAACAAGCGTAGCCCCTCAAGTATATCGAGTATGGGCTGATACTGCCTCGGTAATACAGTAATATATGAAAAAAGGTGTGTAACAATTCTGTATACCGGGGAACTTTCATCTATCACTGCTGAAATCCATATACTCCCTAAGTTTGCCCTTCACATGTCATTGCTATATATATATGGTATAGTGTGTACTTTCGTACTTACCAACTTTTTGGAATTTCCATTGGGGAGATTACGTATGCTCGTATAAAAAGGCATATATAAAAGGTGTGTATATATACACCCTATACACTTTTATATGCATCCTTTGTGCTGCTCTTCAGATGAAATCATCACATCTTACAAATAGGAATAGTTTAGCAAATTCACTGGTTTAATGTGCTCATATATATATAGGGTCCAAAAATCGAGGGTCTCCCTCCAAAATAGGGAGAGTTGGCAAGTATGCAATTCGCTGACATGATACAGCCAACACTGCTCATGTGACCATCTTTATTAAGTAAGAGACCACGTTTAATATCCCCATTGTAGTGATTTCTTTGTAAATTGAACCTTTGTTAAGAGACCACCTGTGTTAAAAGACTGCTTTTTGAACTCCTGTTGGGTGGTCTCTTTATACAGGTTTGACTGTACTGTGAGCGAGTCATGTAAATTTGTACCCTCATTGTGAAGGGCAAAACACGTGGAAGCTAAACTGTGGTGAAAACTTCTAGTGTCGGTGTACAGTATGGGTAATTAATGATAATTCACCCCCAAATCAATTACAATGCAACATTGTTAATATTTGCATATGAAGCCCAAGATGGCCATTGTTAATGACAACATCAAAAAGAATTTGTTACAGAGCTAACCCATATTTCTGAAAATGCACAAAAATAATCTAAAATCATTATTTATTTATGGTTTTAGCTAGTATGAATGCAAATAATGATAACCCTTGGCTATTGTGTTTTGAGATTTGTGTCGTTATGTTGCGATAATACTGTTGCTAAAACCTGTTTTGCTGGCTGGCTCCACTTTGTTGCCAGCAAAACTCTTTTTGTGACACTACTGTTTTATCCTTAACGTACTGCCCCAAAACACAAGGTTTATCCCCCAATTCAAGACCGACTTTGTCTGAAGCTCTGACTGGGTGAGTCTACTCACTCTTAGCTTCACGTTTAATGCTACATTGTTCAGGTATAAATTAAATGACTTTGATATAACATTGAGCCACAGATTGTTAAAAGTTTTAAAGGAGAGGTTGATAGTAAAAAAATCTTGGTAGCCAATGTTACGATCCGGTAAGATCCGTTACGATCCGGTTTGATCCGGTATGATTGTACTGGTGCAATCCAGTCTACCTATACTACTCTGCAGACAGTATCAGTGAGCCTAACCCCTGGAGTATCAAGAATGCAGTAAAACATGCTGAGGTCAAATCTGTTAAGTTGTATACTTGCATTGTTGAGACTTCAATTTCAATGGACCACCTACATTAACAAACTGTATGTGCCTATTTTAATCCAAACTTATGTGAAAGAGTCTGCGACTCTTTAGCCATTTGTTGATTTACATTTCATTTAGCTGGTAATGTAGATATTATAGATTAAATGTTGTGTACTAGTATTTGCTTTCATGAGAAATGAGAAATTCACGCTCGTTGGAGATGGGGGGGGGGGGGGGGGGGGGGGGGGGGGGGGAGTTATAAAACTGTGGCAAAACACATTCCCGGTATACAGTAAGTAATTTTGTTGATTAGTCTGTTATTCCATATAAGTCATGAAATAGAATGTCGTGTAACGATCTTATATGATTAAATTTGTTTGTCAGTAGATTTTAACAATGTAAAAGAAATAAATGAGTACGAAGTATATATACAAGAGGTGTATCGTCGTTATTTCAGAATGTTTAACTCATTCACCCCTACATATTTAAACTGGTCTTGCCCAGTCTTTAGGTAAGGTTTAAATGTGACTGTAGGGGTGAATGGGTTAAGGTAAAGGGTATCACTGCATCAGTTGTAACTGGGAAGAAGAGTTCCATTTTCAGAGTTTTTGTCCGGAGTATTCTCCCTTTTATAGATGATAAATCAACCAAAAGGAGTTTTGCTGGTTTAGAGTTGATGCCTTTTTATGCATTTTATAATTTCTTGTTGGCAACATCGGAAAAGACACATGTAGGTTTTGCAGTGTTAAGGTCCTGGGTTTGAATCCTACATGTTTTTTTTGTTTCGCCGCCACAAATTAAAGTAGCTTTCACTGAAAGTGTAAGTGCTAGACCAACCAAACTTGAACCATAAATGCATCTTAGGTAGTACATCTCAACCCATGCATCAAATGCTGGATGCGGCCTACCTTTCATGGTCCATTGACTTTGTCAGCATCTCCATCAACATTAAGTTTTTGCATTTCAAGTTAGTTTCTTTGATATGTACATCGATGGTCAAAGCGGGACAATAAGGCAAGACATATCAATACAAATGTGTAGATGAAAAAGCAACCAAAAGGAGATTTTCTGGGTTATAAGAGTTGATGCCATGCATTTTTTAATATCTTGTTGGCAACATTGGAAAAGACACATGTAGGATTTGCAGTGTTGAAGTCATGAATTTGAATCCTGCATTTAATTTTTTTTTATATATAATCTGTTTTCAATGATTCAAATTTCAAACAAGTGATTTTCATGGAATACTTCATTTGAAAAGGACTAAAACGGAAAGTTAATACTGCAGAATAGTGAAATGTACTTGTTGGTGCTCTTTACTTAAAGCTGTTTTGAAGCATCATAAATGGAACCTGCATCTACACCAACAATACACCAAACATTCAAATTACGGTCCAAATTGATAGATTTCCATGTAATTGAATATCTGAAATCTAGAAACCAGTATAAACCAGACCTTCAACCTTGAACCCATGTAATCAGGATGCATGTGTAAACTGAGCGAAGACCTCCAAGATCAGATGGAGGCTATAGTAACCATTTGAGCTACATGTATGTCATGGCCGCTTCTATTTATCGCGATCCAAATGGTTGAATAGGTTGGACCCAGAGTGGTTCGTTTATGATATAAGTTTGAACCTAGTAATCTGATGTTACTTTCATGCGAGCTCTCACAAAGCCTTGCAAAGCCTGCATAAACATTTGAAGGTCTTGCTAAAAAATGTTACATGTTATAACAGTCAAACTCTGGTTTCTGGTGACCATCCCAGTCCTCCCTCCTTTATCCTAGTCTTTGGCCTTAAAGTCAACACTATTTACAAGCCAGGTTTGGGAATCCCCTTGCCAAGCATTCACCACATACAGTGTATTTGAAACAAGGAATGGCCACAGTCACCATTGAAACAAAATAGAAAAAATGCATGGACAGACGAGACCTCCAAACTCTAGACAGAAATTCTATCCAATCGCGATAGTTTGTCACAAGGGATCAACCAAGTCCAGTTCTGCTACGTAATATGTAAATTGAACCTGTATAATATGGGTATCTGTATCAATCAGGCATTCAACTACATGTACATGTGTAGACTAGGTCCCACTGTACACCTAGGTCCCACTGTATATATTTCTAAGTAAAGTGAACCTGTGTAATCTGGGTACTTAAGTAAGGACTTCACCTAGGTCCCACTGTACACCTAGGTCCCACTGTATATATTTCTAAGTAAAGTGAACCTGTGTAATCTGGGTACTTAAGTAAGGACTTCACCTAGGTCCCACTGTACACCTAGGTCCCACTGTATATATTTCTAAGTAAAGTGAACCTGTGTAATCTGGGTACTTAAGTAAGGACTTCACCTAGGTCCCACTGTACACCTAGGTCCCACTGTATATATTTCTAAGTAAAGTGAACCTGTGTAATCTGGGTACTTAAGTAAGGACTTCACCTAGGTCCCACTGTACACCTAGGTCCCACTGTATATATTTCTAAGTAAAGTGAACCTGTGTAATCTGGGTACTTAAGTAAGGACTTCACCTAGGTCCCACTGTATATATTTTCTATGTAAGCTGACGACACTGTGATTTTGAATCCTGTCCATTCTGAGTAGAACTGTCAGCCTGATCTGTGGCAATAGATTTAGACTAGTTAACGTACACCCTGTAACTGTACTCCCTATACATTTCTCACTTTCCATCAGTTTGGTTTGATTCATAGTACCAGATTATTTAAGGATGTGCCTTGATTCATGGATGTATGTGTGCTGGAGGCTGTATATTGGTGGATTTGCTAATTTACCAGTGTGAATCTGATACCAACTTTAAAGTGCTACCTCCCTGAAATACCACGCCGAAGGAAATTTGCATTTCACCTGGTTAGACTATATTGACTACTGGTAAACCAGGTGTTGTGCTTATCTTTAATGCTGAATGTTTAACAGGGAAAAAGAACACCATGGTTTGTGAGGATTTTGGTATATCCCGGCCTGGAGACGGAACCCTCTGGCTTCCTCACAGGAGGATTATTACCTTAGCAACAAAGCAAAGACATGCAAGTTTCATATGGACATTTATTTAAGTAAATCACAGTAATTAAATCACAGTTGGTGTTTCAGTATACAAGATATTTCTTGAAGTTGTATTAATTTTGAGATTTTGCAGTGTAGCCTTGATAATTTGACACCCTGCAGGATCTACTGAGAAGTTTGTCTAATCTAACATGCTATAGATTACGCAAGCTGTCATAATTAATTTAATGCATATTTGTTAGTTTAAATAAGATAAGACATGTTGTTGGGTTTGAATATTCAGTCATCAGGATAGACAGATACACATTTGGTCTCGGCTACACAGAATGTCAGAATACTAAGGTGTCAGATAAGACAGAGTGTCAAAACAGTTTATCTCATCTCGACAATGTCAGAATACTCAGGTGTCAGATAGGACAGGATGTCTGAATACTCGAGGTCTGAATAAATATACTGGGTATGATATTGTATGTGATTTCAATATGACAGCAATAGCGTACTTCCAACAAAGTAATCATAACACTACTGAAACCACAAATTCAATCCAGCATTTTTTCAACTTTCATACATGTATGTAAACATACTAATGATCTATAATACTTGTAGTGAACAGTGTACAAAGTATTAAGTTTTATATAATTAAAGGCTTTCTGTTTTTGCTTTCCAACATTTCCACAGATTTCTTCTTGAGGAAAATTAACAATTTGCTAAAAAGTACTTAATGTATCTTATAAGTAATACACAGTGTACTTATCATATTACTAGAGCTAAAATGAAAAAATATTTCGTAAAAAATGCTTTCCCAGATTAGCAGAAATGTTATGTATCACAACAGTAAGTTGATTTGTCTGATGAAGGTGACAGGGTACGTATCGTACTAGTCACCGACACGTCACACGTAAACACTTACTGGTTGTGATACATTAACCTTTCTATTATGCAAGCTTACCAACCTGATGAAAATGTTTAGAAATAAGTCAACCAGATTGTTCCATCATAAAGTCTAGAATTCTGCTATCCTGAATTTCTATTGAATGTCATCATTGTGATGTCATAATCTATAGCTAAAATCTTCAAATATCATATATATTAATCTAAAAATCTGTTTGGCCATTTCATTGCATATAATCTATGTTGCCACAATAGATCATATTATGAAAGTTCATATTGGAAATATAAAATATTCACCAATTTATATGGTTATCATTTGATACAAGCACAAATGATAAGTGGTTTTGTAAAAATGACTAGTTTATTTTGGAATATGTACATGTTCTTCAAATTAATGGATATCAGATATAGTATGGATGTTCATGTAACATACCCAAAATATATTTAACTCGTAACATTGATATCTATGACAACACATTATTTTTTGTGTGTATTTTATTTTGCTAACTCTACCTATATATTTAGAAATTTTTAAATTCACAATTAAAAGAATGCTTTTTCAATATTGATAATAATTATCCCTGGCAAAAATATTCTAGATATATTCAGTCTAAATTAATAAGCTGCCCTGCAAATTCATGTAAAAATGAATGTCCGAAAAATGATTCATTTACAATCTGTGAACATTTGCATTATCCCCTGAAATTATCTTGGTTCTTAAATTGCTAAAGTCAACAAAACGTTACAAGTTAAATATATTTTTGTTGCATTACATCAAATTCAATACTATATGCTTACAAATATCACCATGTTTTTGGCATACATTACCTGAACAACCTTATAGCCAATGTTAAAACATTTTTGGAATAATCACAATACAATCATCATCATGTACGTAGTAAGTATGTACACATTTGTCAGGGTACTTCAACTCTGTGGGAACTGCAGATAGTTGCCCGTCCACTACTTTATAGCAAATCAGGCGGAATTTGTGGGACGGCAGGCCAGCAAAACTCTGTAGTATTTTTTTTAATTCTCGCACTGTTTGTGTAACACTTATGTCCATCTCTTCAGCCTTTCCATCGTCGCCCACTTTTATTGTGACCCTGCATGTCTTTCTTGGAGAAAGGTCAAGTACAACTAGTGGATCAAGTTTCCCGTATGTTTTTTCAAGTTCATGATACCTGTAATGAAAAAACAAAAGATTTCCAAACATTTTCTTCCTGTATATGATACTTACAGCAGGAGAATTTTGGCCAGTAAATCTTATGTTCCTATGCTAGTAAAATCTGTATTCGACCAATTTTAGTTTTGCCCGTTACATTTAATTACAATGTCCATTGTACACTGTACATGTGTTTAATACTAATTAGTATAACGTTCAATGTCATGATTAATTTGCTTTCATTGACCCTTTCACCCCTATGTAACTTAAGTAGACTCTACCATGCATTGATATGTGTGAGTTCATTATGGTCTACAGAGGTGAAAGGGTTAAGGAGGAAAAACAAAGTTGAAGTAAAACTGACACAACATTTTCCTTGTATATGCTTAGCTAAAACACTGTCACCTTGATATAAGAAAACATTTCTTTACTTTCCGTGTTGTTGATATATGGAACAGTTTTCCACAGGATGTCATTGATCCATCTAATGTTACACAGTTTGAAATTGGTTTAGATGAGTACTGTTAACGTGAAAATATAACTTTTAATTTTCAGTTTTAACAAGAGGCCCAAGAGGGCCTGTATCGCTCACCTGAATATTTAAACAGTCATAGCAAATATTCTCATTAAATGTTATATTGTACTACAAATTTGTCACTCGCAAACTTTGTCAATTCCATCTGTTGAAACTACCAGTCAAATATTATTATAAGATTTTATACTTTTTGGCCATCGTTCTTCTTCAAGTATGTCAATTCATTTTCCTTCTCAAACTTTTATGAATCCATTCCTTTTGATTCTTCAGAACAAATCCTTTGAAATGTTTTTGATCTCTGTGACATTTAAAGGAGGTCGAGGTCATTTTAATTTGCAAACTTGGGTGAGCTCTAACCCAAGAAGTCGCTTGATGTTTTTGACATATTTGACCACTGTGACCTTGAAAGCAGGTCAAGGTCATTTTCATTCTCAAATTTGTTGGGCTCTATCCAAGGAAGCCACCAGCCAAATATAAAGATTCTTTACCTTTTGGTCCTTCAGAAGAAGTCGCTGAATGAGTTTGATATATTTGACTCCTGTGACCTTGTAAGCCATTCAAGGTCATTTTCATTCTCAAAATTTGTCTGGCTCTATCCCAGGAAGCAACCAGCCAAATAGGAAGATTCTATACCTTTCAGTTCTTCAGAAGAAGTTGTGTAAGTGTTTCACACATTTGACCGCTGTGACCTTGAAAGTAGGTAAAGGTCATTTTCGTTCCGAAACTTTGTTGGTCTCCATCCCAGGAAGCCATCAGCCAAATATTAAGATTCTATACCTTTTTGTTCTTCAGAAGAAAACGTTTGAAGTTTTTGACATACTTGACCCCTGTTACCTTGAAAGTAGGTCAAGGTCATTTTCGTTCTCAAACTTTGTCGGGCTCCTACCAACAAAGCTTTCAGCCAAATATCATGACTCTAGGCCTATCTGTTCTTCAGAAGAAGTTGTTTAAAGGAAAAGTTGACGGATGAAGACGGACGGCCGGATGGCCGGACGCCGGACCATGACATAAGCTCACTTGCCCTTTGAGCAGGTGAGCTAAAACTGTTCAATTGACACTTGAAGTATAATTAATGTAAATTGTGTTGTTTGTACTGATATGGATATAGAGTTGTGTAGCCTGCGTCCCTAATGTATCATATTAAATCATATTAAATGTCATAACAGGGTTTTTGCCAGCTATTTTGGGAGAGGGCCCCTGGGCAGGAATTGGGAAATGATCATGGGCATTTGGCAAAAATTAGGAAAATATCATCTGAGTTCAGACATGTACAGGTTTGGGAAAATATAAGTTTGGAAAAAATATAAACTGCAATCTGATTTGCAAAAGGTTTTTCTATAGCAGTTTCTTACAGTAAAATGTATAGCAATAAATAAAGTGTTTTTGTTTATTCAATTTGATTCATGGAAGTTAATACTTTGAACATTACACATAAAATGACTGGAAACTTATATAAACATGCCTTTAAATAAAATTGGGAAAATAAAGCCTGGAATTGGGAAAATGCAGGGTCCTTTTTCAATTGGGAATGGGTCCCCGTGCAGGATCATTTAAACACCTCGCAAATACCTTGCATAATTACCCAGAGCCTATAGTAAGTCCCTTGAGAGTATGTTTTTGCCGTCCCAAAATGAGCATGGACTGACTGACTGAAAGGATATGAACGAACTTTATTCTGGCCTGCCAGTATATGCCGCTGGGAAGGTGGCACTACAACTTGATTATGTCACTTGGATACGCGCGTTGTCGTTGCCTTTGGACGAGAAGTTTTGCCGGACTGGAGAGACAGGCAAAGCGATACACAATGTGAGTTGTGTTGGCCTTATTGCATGTTAGCCGCCTCACTTGAATGTAGAGTGCCGGTGGCAAGAACAATCCGGGCAACGGGCATGACAGACACATCAGAATCAAGTTTGCCCTATTTCTATTTGACAGATGTTTTGACCCTTCAGATTTCAAGGAAAAGATCATTTGACTTCTGAAATTTCTAAATATCAAAAGTTAGCTGAAAACTATCTCTGATTGCCAGATTTGTATGACAGTATGAGCAGGTATGAATTAGAAAGACCTTTTTGGGATTAAACATAGAAATAGGAGGATTACATCAAAGTGAATCTTGTAACCCGACGCATCCATCCACCTAAAAGACTTTTCAGACTTAAATAATTTTTATTTTTTTATTAAAAACTAATTATTAAACATAAATATTTGATATGAAATTACCATTTTTAGAGACAGAAACTCTCTGTGTACAGTGAAGCCTTGTTAAACTGCATCCATTTGTATTCAGTGATATTTTTGGCGTTCTAAAAAAGTTCCGCAATAAATCGCAAGGTTTGAAGGAACTTGCAATTGGGAGAGGGAAATGAAGTGAAAGGTGTTAAACCCATGTTTTGTTGGGAGAGGGAAATGAAGTGAGAGGTGTTAAACCCATGTTTTGTTGGGAGAGGGAAATGAAGTGAGAGGGGTTAAACCCATGTTTTGTTGGGAGAGGGAAATGAAATGAGAGGTGTTAAACCCATGTTTTGTTGGGAGAGGGAAATGAAGTGAGAGGTGTTAAACCCATGTTTTATTGGGAGAGGGAAATGAAGTGAGAGGTGTTAAACCCATTTTTCGTTGGGAGAGGGAAATGAAGTGAGAGGTGTTAAACCCATGTTTTGAGATTTTACTTCCCATCTGTCAATGAGATAATGACACCATGAGTAATTAGTGACAGTCTCACCTTGCAGGTTGATCTTCTCTGTCCATGTAAAACCGTATGAAGGCCCGTTCCGCATCTTCTCGCTCTGTGTCGAGTATTGGACTGCCATTAAGGCGAGTAATATTTGGCAGCCGAGCGATGATCATTTGGCGTCTCACTTTCTCGTTAAACTCCTGGAAAAGGTTGTAAATAGCTATAGTTATAAAAATTTAATGCTAGAGACTAAAACAATCTTTCATCCCCTTGCTGCCCTTGTGGGTGAGATAGGAGAATCTTTCACCCTCTTGGGGTGAGATAGGAGAATCTCAACCCGAGGGGGAAGATTCTTAAGGTGCCAAACACAAGGCTTTGTCGAGTGTTTGGCAACTTAAAGATTCCCTGTGGGTTGAGATTCCCCTATCTCACCTACATGGGGGTGAATGATTCTTTTTCCCTTGTCCTGTTCTCCCATTGTGTATCATATACACAATGTAATGATAACGTTATATGCTAAATTCAGGGTTGACATGACGTTGATGTATTATTGATGTGACGTCATTGTACTGTTGAAGTGACGTCATAAGATTGTTATGAATAGGGGAATCCCCCGTCTCAATCCTAGGGTGAGACAAGGAAATTTCACACCAGTAAAAGTGTGGATATACCTGTCCAGGGTAAGAGAAAGAAGAATCTCACTCCAAGGAGACAGATTATTAAGTTGCTGAAAGTTTGGTAACTTAAGAATCTTTTTCCGAGGGTTGAGATTCCCCATCTCACCTCAACGGAGTGAATTATTCTTTTTCTCAGATTACCCTCTTAACTCTGTCATATACATAGTGCAATGCTGATGTTACAGGTCCAGTGCATTGCTGTTTTTTTTATTTAGGAAACCCTAGGTCACTTTTGTTTGTCAAATTTCACCAAGTTGACCTGTTGGACCAGAATATATTACTATCAAAATAGGGACAGACTTAGTATTCTGATTTTGTTTTCAGGCAAGTGTTCAAAAATACTTTCTAGATCTGCACAAATATTTTAAGGTCTACAAAGTTTCTACCCCTAGAAATATTACAGTTAAAAATAGATAAACAGCTTGTAAAGAATACAGAGAGGCCTGTTCGTTTATGCGGAACAACCAGTTTGTCCGTTTTTAAATGAAACATTTTCGGGTAAAAATCCTGGCTGACCTGCAAATGTCTATGCAGGCCTTGTAAGGCTTTGTCAAGGCTCACTTGAAAGCAGCATCAGATTACTAGGTCCAACCTTATTACATAATTTAACAATTCTGGTCCAATCTGTTCAACCGTTTGAATCACGATAAACAAAAGCGGCCCTTGTATACCAAAAATGACCCCTGGATCTTCAACGACACAGAATGACACAGGATCTTGATTTTATCACTTACCTCAAGAAATGGAATATTTTTCATCCGTATGTCACAAAGCTTTGGCATTTTTCGAAGTTCTTCTGTATGTCCCCAGTTCAGTAATTTAGTAGAACTGATATGAAGGCAACTGAGACAAGGAAAACTCAACGATGCCTCAGGACAATCCGATATCATATCCGATAGATCAGACTCGATTGTGACAAGAGCTTCTAAGTGACGGAAAACAGATCCCAATCTGGAAACCTCTGACCATTTGGAGATGGAATGTTTGTTTATGAAAAGTTTTTTGAGGCTGGGGTAGGGTTCAAGGTCGTCAACATCTACAGATGTGTAGCCGTTGAGGCTGAGGTGGAGTTCAGTCACACTGAAAGTAAACAAGTACAGGTTGATAAATCATTTTACTATGCCATACGGTCATGTCATAAATATTGTATTACACACATGTAATAGAGTCTTAAGGTGGCTGGAAAGTGGCACAAACAGATAAGGGGTGACTGGATATTGGCACAAACCTATAAGGGGTGACTGGAACGTGGCACAAATCAATAAGGGGTGACTGGATCACAGCACATACAAATTAGGGGTGACTGGATAGTGGGACAAACAGATTAGGAATGACTGGATAGTGGCACAAACAGATTAGGAGTGATTGGATAGTGGCACAAACAGATTAGAGATGACTGGATAGTGGGACAAATAGATTTGGAGTGACCTGATAGTGGAACAAACAGATTAGAGGTGACTGGATAGTGGCACAAACAGATAAGGGGTGACTGAATAATGGCACAAACAGATTAGGGGTGACTGGATAGTGGCACAAACAGATTAGAGATGACTGGATAGTGGCACAAACAGATTAGGAGTGACTGCATAGTGGCAAAAACAGATTAGAGGTGACTGGATAGTGGCACAAACCGATTAGAGGGGACTGGATAGTGGCACAACCAGGCAAGTGGTGACTGTATCGTGGCACAAACAGATTAGAGGTGACTGGATCGTGGCACAAACAGATTAGAGGTGACTGGTTCGTGGCACAAACAGATTAGAGGTGACTGGATAGTGACACAAACAGATTAGAGGTGACTGGATAGTGGGTCAAACAGATTAGGAGTGACTGGATAGTGGGACAAACAGATTAGAGATGACTGGATAGTGGGGCAACCTGACAAGTGGTGGCTGGAAAGTGGCACAAACAGATTTGGGTTGACTGGATAGTGGCACAAACAGATAAGAGGTGACTGGATAGTGGAACAAACAGATTAGAGATGACTGGATAGTGGGACAAATAGATTTGGAGTGACTTGATAGTGGCACAAACAGGTTAGAGGTGACTGGATAGTGGGACAAACAGATAAGGGGTGACTGGATAGTGGCACAAACAGATTAGAGATGACTGGATAGGGGCACAAACAGATAAGAGGTGACTGGATAGGGGGACAAACAGATTAGGAGGGACTGGATAGTGGCACAAACCGATTAGAGGTGACTGGATAGTGGGACAAACAGATAAGGGGTGACTGAATAATGGCACAAACAGATTAGGGGGGACTGGATAGTGGCACAAACAGATTAGGAGTGACTGCATAGTGGCAAAAACAGATTAGAGGTGACTGGATAGTGGCACAACCAGGCAAGTGGTGACTTGATCGTGGCACAAACAGATTAGAGGGGACTGGATAGTGGCACAAACAGATAAGGGGTGACTGGATAGTGGGACAAACAGATTAGAGATGACTGGATAGTGGCACAAACAGATAAGAGGTGACTGGATAGTGGAACAAACAGATTAGAGATGACTGGATAGTGGGGCAACCTGACAAGTGGTGGCTGGAAAGTGGCACAAACAGATTAGGGTTGACTGGATAGTTGCACAAACAGATAAGGGGTGACTGGATAGTAGCACAAACAGATTAGGAGTGACTTGATAGTGGCACAAACAGATTAGGAGTGACTGGATAGTCGGACAACCTGACAAGTGGTGGCTGGAAAGTGGCGCAAACAGATTAGGGTTGACTGGATAGTGGCACAAACAGATAAGAGGTGACTGGATAGTGGAACAAACAGATTAGAGATGACTGGATAGTGGGACAAATAGATTTGGAGTGACTTGATAGTGGCACAAACAGGTTAGAGGTGACTGGATAGTGGGACAAACAGATAAGGGGTGACTGAATAATGGCACAAACAGATTAGGGGGGACTGGATAGTGGCACAAACAGATTAGGGGGGACTGGATAGTGGCACAAACAGATTAGGAGTGATTGCATAATGGCACAAACAGATTAGAGGTGACTGGATAGTGACACAAACAGATTAGAGGTGACTGGATAGTGGTACAAACAGATTAGGAGTGACTGGATAGTGGCACAAACAGATAAGGGGTGACTGGATAGTGGCACAACCAGGCAAGTGGTGACTGGATCGTGGCACAAACAGATTAGAGGTGACTGGTTCGTGGCACAAACAGATTAGAGGTGACTGGATAGTGGTACAAACAGATTAGGAGTGACTGGATAGTGGCACAAACAGATTAGAGATGACTGGATAGTGGCACAAACAGATTAGGAGTGACTGCATAGTGGCAAAAACAGATTAGAGGTGACTGGATAGTGGCACAAACCGATTAGAGGGGACTGGATAGTGGCACAACCAGGCAAGTGGTGACTGGATCGTGGCACAAACAGATTAGAGGTGACTGGATAGTGGCACAAACAGATAAGAGGTGACTGGATAGTGGGACAAACAGATTAGAGATGACTGGATAGTGGGACAAATAGATTTGGAGTGACTGGATAGTGGCACAAACAGATTAGGAGTGACTGGATAGTGGCACAAACCGATTAGAGGTGACTGGATAGTGGCACAACCAGGCAAGTGGTGACTGGATCGTGGCACAAACAGATTAGGGGTGACCGGATAGTGGCACAAACAGATTAGGGGTGGCTGGATAGTGGGCCAAACAGATTAGAGGTGGCTTACATATATAATTAATATTGGGACAAAGAGATTAGGGGTGGCTAAACAGTGGGACAAAGAGATTAGGGATGGCTAAATAGTGGGACAAAGAGATTATTGAATTTTCTAAGACTACAGTTTTTTTAAGGATCCCTTGCCCACTGCAGACAAAACACAAGATAATTCTGATATGGTTTTTCTTTATTGTAGTAATCTGTCCTTTATTTTATTTTTTTAATTATCATTAGCAAATTTAATTTGGGCAAGTGGATCCTTTGGCCAAGTAGTTAAGCTGGTTAGCATCACAGTATAACAATCTGAGGTGACTATGACTATTACCTGGGGTATAACAATCTGAGGTGACTATGACTATTACCTGGGGTATAACAATCTGAGGTGACTATGACTATTACCTGGGGTATAACAATCTGAGGTGACTATGACTATTACCTGGGGTATAACAATCTGAGGTGACTATGACTATTACCTGGGGTATAACAATCTGAGGTGACTATGACTATTACCTGGGGTATAACAATCTGAGGTGACTATGACTATTACCTGGGGTATATCAATCTGAGGTGACTATGACTATTACCTGGGGAATATCCTCAGTAACGTACTCAGTGATGACCAAGTAGTCTTCGTGTTGTTCAGAATGAGAAGAGTAACATTAGAAAATGTCTGGTCGTTCACGTGGGGTCCCATCAGGGAGTCGGCTGTGAGAGTGTTGGACGTTAGGTTCAGTGTCTGTAATCGTGGTATATGTGCGATCATAGATAGCACCTGTAACAAAATATCAATAAATTTCAACGATTCCTAATTTTGCAATTATTCCACCAATAATTTGCATTCATGCAATCAACCATTACTGGTAAACATTTAAAACTTTAAATTTCAATAGACATAAAAATTAAAAAAACAAATAACTTGTGCAGTGATAAATATACATAACTCATTTACTCATTAAATTTCTGGAAATCCCTAAATTTTACATTGTGGGACCCATTGTTTTTAGCAATATGTATATATATAGTTGTAAAGGACCCATGAAAATAACTTGTAGATTGCCCAGGACAAACCTAAGGGGGCTCACTGATCAGTGACGCGTGAAATGTAAATGGATTACAAACATTTAATTTAATTAGTTTTCCATATTTTAGTGTGCACACATGTACATGTAAATATAATTTTCTATTGTAGTTAAACTTGTTTAAACTAAGCAAATTTAATTTTCAACCAGTGAATTTGCTTAACTATTCCTATATTCTAAGATCTAATGATTTCACCTGAGAAAGTCAAAATATGACATTTAAAGCGTTTTTCGGCTCTAGGGGTTAAATACACATATCTTATTTATGTTTTAATTTTGAGCATGCAAAACCTCCCAAATGGAAATTTCAAATAGTTGGCAAGAATGTTAAATCTGTCACAGACATTTCCTCGTAATAGTGTGCAAATTACATGGGTTTTTTCGGTACATCAAATACGTTATATAAGTTTACAACAGCCTGTTCCTTTATGAATTGGGAAAATAAAGCATTATTTTTATTGAAATTGGGAATATATTCCTCATTTTTGGTCTTTTTGGGAAAATAAGGCACTTTTTTTAGCTAGGGGACATAGTTTGATACAAGGCAGAAGAAATCTATAATGAATTCCTTTTGTAAGTCACTCTGCTATGATTTCATATAAATATTGCTACTCATGTAGTAGCTTTATATGCATCATTACTTTATTTCAGGCTTTGTAAACTGTGTCGGCTTATTACCTCCCTCCAGCACGTGAACAAGTTGTTGGTGAGATCAAGTTCCGTGACATGACAACACAGCGATGCGATGGCGTCTCTTGGCCCTGCACACGTCACCTTATAATTATCCAAAACTAGAATTGGCGGGACCACAAGACTTCCGCTCCCTGTTTTAACAAAAATCAGTCTTTCAGAATCGGTGAGATCACAAGACCTCCACTCTCTGTTTTAACAAAATTCTACCATTGTTTCGAATTGCCTTTATCTCAGTTCTAAAAAGTTTTATTTTACTGATGAAAAAACACTTCACAAAGTAACTACCAATCGTATTTACAGATGTACACCACATTGTGATATACATGATATAGCCTACTCTGAATCGCAGGGACAGGGCACAGACTAACCACCATCCCCTGTATAAGCTTGTATATATTAGCATATAAGGGATGAGGGTTCGTCTGTGCCTTGCCCATGTGTCCTGAATATTGAGTCCATTTCTGGCCAAAATCTTCAATTCTGCACCAGCACCAGTTTCATGTGTTTTATTAAAATGTGGAATATTTTGAAGTCTTCTTTTTATACTTATATGCATATTCCGTCTTTTCATATTGCAGAGTTATCTGCTCTTGTGAGCAGGTATTGATTGTTACATCATTTGTTTGTGAGAGAATCGTCATCAATTTTTGAGAAAACGACATAATTTTCTCACACAAACTAATGACGTAACAATCAATACCTGCTCACAAGAGCAGATAACTCTGCAATACTAAAAGACAGAATAAACCATTTATATAAGGATCGAAGCACAATATATATACGTATACATATGTATAAATTGTTAAAGTCAATTTGGGAATGGAGCAAAACTTCTGCCGCAAATCTATTGTCAGGATTTTTTATTTTTTTATGTTATATTGATATGTACGTTTCTTGCCTGGAGCATTTGTAGAGATGTAGACCTGTATGTTACATTGATCCGTACGTTTCTTACCTGTAGCGTTTGTAGAGATGTAGTCCTGTATGTTACATTGATACGTACGGTTCTTACCTGGAGCGTTTGTAGAGATGGAGACTTGTATGTTACATTGATACGTCAGTTTCTTACCTGGAGAGTTAGTTGTGATGTAGGCCTGTATGTTACATTGATACATACGTTTCTCACCTGGAGCTTTTGTAGAGATGTAGGTCTTTATGTTATATTGATATGTCCGTTTCTTGCCTGGAGCGTTTGTAGATTTGTAGACCTGTATGTTACATTGATACATACTTTTCTCACCTGGAGCGTTTGTAGAGATGGAGACTTGTATGTTACATTGATATGTACGTTTCTTGCCTGGAGCATTTGTAGAGATGTAGACTTGTATATTACATTGATACGTACGTTTATTACCTGGAGCGTTTGTAGAGATGTAGACTCGTATGTTATATTTATACGTACGTTTCTTACCTGTAGCGTTTGTAGAGATGTAGACTTGTATGTTATATTGATACGTACCTTTCTTACCTGGAGCGTTTGTAAAGATGTAGACCTGTATGTTACATTGATACGTACGTTTCTTACCTGGAGCGTTTGTAGAGATGTAGACTTGTATGTTATATTGATACGTACGTTTCTTACCTGGAGTGTTTGTAGAGATGTAGACCTGTATGTTACATGGATATGTACGTTTCTTACCTGGAGCGTTTGTAGAGATGTAGACCTGTATGTTACATTGATACGTACGTTTCTTACCTGGAGCGTTTGTAGAGATGTAGACCTGTATGTTACATTGATACGTACGTTTCTTACCTGGAGCGTTTGTAGAGATGTAGACTTGTATGTTACATTGATACGTACGTTTCTTGCCTGGAGCGTTTGTAGAGATGTAGACTTTGATGTGAGTGCCATTATCCTCCTCACTGTATTTGGCGTTGATGGCATCTATCAAAGAGAAGTCTTCAGTTTGTCGGTCGTCTAGCGAGGCCATTGTTTGAGTCAGACATATATGTATGTGTGTAGCTATAGGTCTCTATCATCAAAGATAAGCACTCAACAAACACACCTGAAATAGAGAAGGAGAATTACATTTAATATATACAGTTTATTTCTTGTTTTGAATTCAATTCATCAATAAATTGAATTATACATGTATATAGTGTTTTTGCCAGTGCCATTTATAGGGTTTGGTACAGGGCCCTTTTTCCAATTGAAAAATGACCCTGAACTTTCCCAGTTTCATTCTTTATTTTCCCAATTGGATAAAAAAGCATATGTTTCCAGTCGTTACATGTACAACGTTGGAAGTATGACTATCCATGATGAAGCATTCAAAACACATAAATAACGAAAATTGAACAAAACATGCAGTTAGAAGTGATACACCCGATATATCTTATTGAATACTGAAAATTGATGTGTTTATTTATTGCTATATATTTTACTGCAAGAAACTGAAGAGGAAAACGTTTTGCTAATCACATTGCAGGGACTAGATCATGGGGATTAAAATAATTAAATTTAGCATTATTTTCATTTAGGCCAAATGAAAATATTGCTGCGTTTCCTGTTTCCCCATCAACCTGTTATTTTCATGCCAACCCCAATACATTTTATTGGTTTTTCACAGTTACTGTTATGGCATTTATTAGCCTTTTATTTAATCGAAGTGTACAAATAATTTGCTATGCATTTTATTAGCCTTGGTTCGGGATCAGTGTCAAAGTTGTATTTGAAGATAGTAGCTAATTATAAGTAGCCGTAGGTAATTGTGGTTATTATATAGGTTGGGATCTGTAGATTAGTGCGACCATCTTTAGTCTTGGTGGGGGAGTCCAGTCTGAGATGTCAGTGTTTGTGCCTCCAGCTGATGCTGACCATTAGAGTCAGATTTAGCAGGATTCATGGCCAGTTTATAACCTAGTTGTATAGGGGTCAAATTTTAGTAAGGTTTCAGCATCATCAACAATTTCAATGTATCAACATTTTTAATGTGGCAGGATTTTTCCAAGGGAGAGATAGTAAGGTAGTTCCGCTTGGGAGTCGAAGGAGGAGAAGAGAGTTGGGTTGGGGAGTTATTAGTAAACGAGTCTTGAGGAAAGAGGTTGAGTTAGGGATACAGATTTGAGAGGTCTAGAAATATAGAGGAGAGTTAGAAACTTAGTCAAAGTGATAATTAGGAAGTTAGTAATATTACTGATAGTAGTTTAAGCTGCAGTTTGTATAGATCTGTGTACATTTATAGTTTATAGTTGGAGATAAGTTTTGAGTGGAGTTCTGTGTTGAAGACTTGTATATTTTATGACTGATTAAAAAACTTGTGTTGTAAATATAGTGTAAGTATCAACGAATGTACTTATTTTGTTGTTCAATTAATGTTGTTTTTTGCAGTAGAAATTGAGAACCAGAAGCATCAGTGTTAAATACAAAAGAGAAGATAACACTGGTGACCATCAGTGGAGCTTAGATCACTATAAACTAGTTCGTGTCCAGCAGTAGGTATCATTTAGAAATGTAACACTGGTGACCATCAGTGGAGCTTAGATCACTATAAACTAGTTTGTGTCCAGCAGTAGGTATCATTTAGAAATGTAACACTGGTGACCATCAGTGGAGCTTAGATCACTATAAACTAGTTTGTGTCCAGCAGTAGGTATCATTTAGAAATGTAACACTGGTGACCATCAGTGGAGCTTAGATCACTATAAACTAGTTTGTGTCCAGCAGTAGGTATCATTTAGAAATGTAACACTGGTGACCATCAGTGGAGCTTAGATCACTATAAACTAGTTTGTGTCCAGCAGTAGGTATCATTTAGAAATGTAACACTGGTGACCATCAGTGGAGCTTAGATCACTATAAACTAGTTTGTGTCCAGCAGTAGGTATCATTTAGAAATGTAACACTGGTGACCATCAGTGGAGCTTAGATCACTATAAACTAGTTTGTGTCCAGCAGTAGGTATCATTTAGAAATGTAACACTGGTGACCATCAGTGGAGCTTAGATCACTATAAACTAGTTTGTGTCCAGCAGTAGGTATCATTTAGAAATGTAACACTGGTGACCATCAGTGGAGCTTAGATCACTATAAACTAGTTTGTGTCCAGCAGTAGGTATCATTTAGAAATGTAACACTGGTGACCATCAGTGGAGCTTAGATCACTATAAACTAGTTTGTGTCCAGCAGTAGGTATCATTTAGAAATGTAACACTGGTGACCATCAGTGGAGCTTAGATCACTATAAACTAGTTTGTGTCCAGCAGTAGGTATCATTTAGAAATGTAACACTGGTGACCATCAGTGGAGCTTAGATCACTATAAACTAGTTTGTGTCCAGCAGTAGGTATCATTTAGAAATGTAACACTGGTGACCATCAGTGGAGCTTAGATCACTATAAACTAGTTTGTGTCCAGCAGTAGGTATCATTTAGAAATGTAACACTGGTGACCATCAGTGGAGCTTAGATCACTATAAACTAGTTTGTGTCCAGCAGTAGGTATCATTTAGAAATGTAACACTGGTGACCATCAGTGGAGCTTAGATCACTATAAACTAGTTTGTGTCCAGCAGTAGGTATCATTTAGAAATGTAACACTGGTGACCATCAGTGGAGCTTAGATCACTATAAACTAGTTTGTGTCCAGCAGTAGGTATCATTTAGAAATGTAACACTGGTGACCATCAGTGGAGCTTAGATCACTATAAACTAGTTCGTGTCCAGCAGTAGGTATCATTTAGAAATGTAACACTGGTGACCATCAGTGGAGCTTAGATCACTATAAACCAGTTTGTGTCCAGCAGTAGGTATAATTTAGAAATGTAACACTGGTGGCAGACTACTGTGAAATAGGTTTTTTATTCCATAAACATTTAGGTGGGTCAAATACTATTTAATATGGATTTTTTTTATATATATTTAGTGTCATTCATACTTTATTTAAATAATAACATATTTTTAACCCTTTCGCTGCCACAGTGAAAACCCTCATTTGTTGTTAGGCCAAGATTTCAGTGTGGCTTTCAAATGTCCTATTATGACGTCGTTGTACTATGATGTCAACAAATTTATGCGTAGACCCAAGTACAATTTCTCAGGAAATGTACTGGAAAAAAACATTGAATTACTTCATATTCAAAAGATCATATAAAACTATTCCGGCGACCTAGAACCACATATTAAACCTCTATGGAAAGTTGAAATCATTATCTATTACTTCATATAATTAAATATAAACCAATAGTTAGTGCGCATGTTGTGATACGTACCGGCCAAAGTTATGGAATATTGTTGAAACATGAAAATGGTAGTAAATGGTGTATTTTTTTACATTTAGTGTTATAGCAACGAATTAGAATGTGTGTACGATCTGTTGTACACAATGATAGATGATGCTCTCTATTTTCTGCAATTTCGAAATCCAAGGGTTACACACTCTGCCATCATATCGAGAGCGGAAGTCTTGGATTTCGAAGACATAATATCAAATGAGTTACGATAGTGTTGAAGGTATTTGTTTTAGAGTTAAACATGCATCGATAGACCCTGCGAGTCCTTTTCTCTATTTCGTACGGGTATTCCCCTTCCAATCACTGGCAGATACTGTCTGTTCCGATATTAATTCTTATACATAGAATATATATCAAGGTGATGGAGGGGAGGAGTAAAGACAATTTTTGATTACGTAATAGATACTGATGTGACATAAATTAAAACAACTTGAATGGTTTCAAGGATTCAGTTAACAATAACCAGAAAAACAAAAGACAGTTCCGAATATTGTAGTCGGCATTATTATATTAACTATTTCAAAACTATTTCATATAGTGCCATGTTTTTGTCAACGTCTTTAAGTTCATTAAGTAATAACCTATTCTTGCCAGGTATTAATTCTCGCCGAGGCACGTACATCTTTGTCAAACTAGGTTGCTTATTAGTAACCGTTTGAAGCGACCTTATGGAATTAATTATTATGAAAAAAGAGATTTCAAATAAATCAGAAAAAAAGCAAAAGCATCCGAACGGGATTCTTACTCTGGACCTCAAACTTTTTACTATACCCAGGCTCAGTTGTGCTACAGGTAAAATCATAAAGGAAATTTAGGGAAGGTTACTGTGTGCTAAAAATCTACTTCGGAAAATAGTCTTACATTGTTTGCGAGAAATTACCTGAGAGCTAGTATATAATACAGAAGTTTAGTTAGTTTGAACCAAATTTGTATAAGGGATTAGGCACAAGCTAACAACAAAGATTTGTGGCGTGCGCCTTGTCTGTGCCATATGTCTAATGGCTGTATCCAACGTCCTATCTCCGAAGAATTAAAAGTTCAAACACATCGCTTACAGCAAGGTTTTCAAAAAAGACGTTGAAAGGTTGCTAATTTACTGACACCATTGCTCCAAATTTTCAAAGAAAATCCAAAAGAAAGAAATAAATCGGAGAAAAAAGGTCCACCGATCTGAACCCATACTCTATCACTTAACAATACAGAGATAGTCAGGTGATCATATTAGAATATTCATCTGCGTGAAAAGCAGGAAACAGTACCCGCATTATAAACTTTGGTGTCATGATTTTCTTCTTGTTCCTCTATATGGACGGGTATTTCAAAGAACAGGGAAAGCATGCCATCTTATATATATGAGCTTCAAGATCAGGTTCTCAGTTTCCCATCGGTATATGACATGTGCCTCTGCGATACCAATATAATTTATCACATTTTGAAACTTGAACATAAATCGACTCACAAAACAGTTTCCGCTTTGACCATCAATGCACAAATTATCCGAGAAACTAAGTTAAAAGCAAAACCCCAATGTTGAAGGAAATGCTGACAAAGTCAATGGACCATGAAAGGTAGGCCGCATACAGCATTTGATGCATGGGCTGAGTTGTACTACCGGATATGCTTGTATGGTACAAGTTGGGTTGGTGTAGCACTTATACTTTCAGAGAAACTAAAATGCAAACACTAAATGTTGATGGAGATGCTGACAAAATCAATGGACCAAGAAAGGTAGGTCGCATCTAGCATTTCATGCATGGGTTGAAATGTACTACCTAAGATGCATGTATCGTTCAAGTTTGGTTGGTGTAACACTTATACTTTCAGAGAAACTAACTTAAACGCAAAAAAGTTGATGGAGATGCTGACAAAGTCAATGGACCATGAAAGGTAGGTCGCATCCAGCATTTCATGCATGGGTTGAGATGTTCTACCTAAGATGCATGTAAGGTGCAAGTTTGGTTGGTGTATAACTTATACTTTCAAAGAAACTAACTTAAACGCAAAAACTTATTGTTGATGGAGATTCTGACAAAGTCAATGGACCATGAAACGTAGGCCGCATCCAGCAATTCATGCATGCGCTGAGATTTTATCGACTTTTTTATGTCAGTCTGTCGTCGATTCGATAAAATGTCAGAATAATTCGGACTAGCGCCGAGACGTAATTCCTGAGATGCATCATTGGTCTAAGTAACTAAGTTTACCGTTACGCATGCTACGGACCGTTACTCATTGAGAGATTGACTAGAACATAAAGTTCTCACAAATTGATAACCTCTTCTCCCCTTTCAAATTAGACACACCCTCATTAGACTAGCTTTTTTTTTATTGTTCCCTACGATCGACACCCTGATCATCGAACTCTGCCCTGCGGGAAAATTTATCTGTGGGGATGTGAACTAGCCTACCTGCCCTGGTTTGTTCTCCTTTCTCCCACTTTTTTTTTGGATCAAAGGAATTATATAAACACTGGGAAACAATAGAGGTGTCATTATAGTCTGTTCTGGTATAGTACAGGTAGATTATTTACCTGTATTTACCTGTTCACCAATAGGAAATACTGTGTCAGTTATAGGAATATTTAACAAACATGTTTCCTGTTTTTCGTAATATTTACTGGAATTATAAGTTAATATATACAAGATACCAGTTATTAGTTAATAAAAACACATCAAGATACATTAACTGAAAACCTGCTTTTATTAATTTCATATTAAATCAATTTTATACATTTTTACTACACATTTACATGTATGTTATTTACATATTTCATAAAATAGAACTAAATTTAGCAAGCAATTTATAACAAATATAATCAGTACAGACTGATCATGTATATGCACAAAGATACATGATATAAAACTAATATAATAGCACTAACTTACTAAAGGTGAAATATTGGAAAGTCCATAAAAAGCATAGATAAAGAAAAGTCCACAATTTTAAGAAATCCAAGCAGCGCACCAAATAAAAATTCCATAACAAGCACATTTATCTCAATGTCACTATAAATGCAAAAGATGGGATGCTGTGTCGGCGTACTGGATTACATCTGTTGTACCATTCTCCAAGCTTTCCTTTAGTTGGTTAAGGCGGCTGTCGATGTTACGGTAGCTTTTCGCTCTTGGTCTGAGTTGTCCTCCTGCTGCGTGTTGGATGCGTGTTATCTCGTTGCTGGCTTGTATTTCCGGGAAGACGCGGATGATGCTGTAGATGTTGGGGTGGGCGTGTTCCACTTTCTTCTTCAGTTTGCTGTGCCATCACTCTATGTGGTTGGTTGTTCTGGGTCCCTCGGTCTCAAAGTGGTTCCAGAGTTGTTGATCTCGGTCAATATCAGCTCTGTCACTACGTTATCTGAAAATGGAGTGGTGTCCTGTGGTACATCAGCATTGTCTATGTCCTCCAGCGCATTGAACCAGACATCTTCTACATGGTCTAACGGAACAAGGGGTAGTACAGCGGCACGCCGTACAAGTTGTCGGACATCATCGTTGTTGGCGTAGAGTTGTTGAAAATAATCTAATAAGTGATACTAAGTTATTAATAATTACACTGAAGACGCATTTATTGGTAAAATAGATTCTCTGAAAATAATGCTTCAGTATGAATTTACTTCACCCTAAATTAAATCAAGATCAATCAAAATTTAAAAATTTAAAATTCTAATTAATCAAAGCATTAATCATCTATATATTTACTATTAAGTATGTAAAATATACAAAATATTTGTTACTGTTTTGTATGTTTTGTTTAGATGAAAATGGTATATGATATGAAAAAAATGGATAAAAATAGACTTTATCAAAGCTACATATATGTGGCAGTGCTGTATATATGATACAGGTAATGTGGGAGAACACAGGTAAAAACCAGGTAATATATGAAACAGACTATAACTGCTATCACAACATTACTGCCTCCATGGGTTCTTTTAAAAAGTGGGAGAAAGGAGAACACACCCCTGTCCTATAGGTGTGAAACGCGAACAATAGACCACAATTACCAGTTTGTAACTTCATCTAATTATAATTAATGATATCTGTTAATTATCAACTTCAAGGCTTCAATCTACGTTCTGATTTTCATAGGTGACAGACAATTACACCGAAATAGGAAATAATAAATACAAACTCAGAAAAGTCTGCTTACCTATCTTTGCTGCATTGTTTTTGGCCATCAAATTTTAATGCTTGGATAAGTAGCCTTTATCAACAATTGGCTGTCGATAGAAATTAAGAGAACATGAACTATTTTTACTTCATCAAGATCGTGGCGGCCATGTTGTTTTGATAACCTGATTAATCTTACGTAATCCGTGATGCAATAGCATTTGAAACACGGATGAGGGGCGTTAATCATTTTTGCGCCAAAATTATAAATAGCACATGTTTTTTTTTACTGGATAATTACAATAACTCATTTTGACTACAATAGCACTATTTAAGTTTATATTGAGAACAGCAACGTTGTGATTTTTGTTTGTTTGATGAATGATAGCAGGCCCTGTTAATTTCATAACTAAGGGATTTAAAAATATATATATAAAAATAAATCAATTATTTAAAAATTAATTAAATATTTGTCCAAATAAATACCTTTGGTTGGAAATGTTATTATAATTATTAATTCTTGGGACATATATTCATTTATTTCCTTGATGATATTCTTGGGAAAAAATGCTTAAGTGTTTGCTAAAATTATCCATTTTCTTGAGTCAGACTATTTTATTTGCAGTTGTTAAAAAATAATGATGAAGAAAAAGAACAGGGCAAGAATATGAGCAATAATATAATGCAATGTCAGGATGATAAGTAATGCTATTTAAGTCTTGTTTTGAGTTTCCTTTCTCAAAGTGGTGTCGCGCACGATAGATGGATTGCAATGCGGTAGAATGGTCGACAGCGCCGCACTGTGATGGAAGGGTTAAAGAATACCATAGCGCATCAAAAAAAATCTTGGGAGAACACTGAAGTTTGGTTGGTGTAGCACTTATACTTTCAGAGAAACTAACTTAAACACAAAAACTTAATGTTGACACCGCCATCGCTGGAAAAGCAACACCTATATCTCGCTTCCACTTCGTTGCTTTGAGACAAAAATGAAATAAAATGTTTTTCCTACCCTATTTTTTTGGAGCCGAAACAGGAAACTCACATATATATTTTTATTTGGCCTAATATTATTGTTTTTGAATTTATTTTATACTTTTGAACTAAACAGTAGACATTTGAAAAAAGTAGATTCTATAATAAACAAGAGGCCCATGGGCCTTAAGGGTCACCTTAGTTATGTAAAAGCTTATGTTATCGATGTTGCCAAATGAAAAAGAAATCATTTTGTAACGAAGTTAACTTGAACTACATGTACATGTAATGCAAAAGTAGTGTGAAACATGTAACAACACTTTGTCAGGACCATGAGTTGATTATTCCTACCAAGTTTCTGTTAAATCGGCACAGTAGAACTTGACTTTAAGTTTGAAATAGTTTTTCAAAATGGCTGCCGTGGTGGCCATATTGGATTTCTGATCAACCCGAAAAATAACAACAATTGGTCATGGAGTAGTCAGTAACATTCCCATTAAGTATCAATGAAATCCCTTTGGCAGTATTTCAGCGAAAGCTCAGGTGACCTAAAGCAAGAGGCACAATGGGCATGCATCGCTCACCTGGTATTAATCTCACACTTGTAATCTTAAAAGTGGACTAAAATACAGCTACAGGCAGAATATCAGTGTTTGATTCATATGAACCTATTAAAAGATTTAAACATATTTGACCCCTGTGACCTTGAAAGTCGGTCAAGGTCATTCATTTGAACAAACTTGGTAGTCCTTCATCCCTGCATGATACAGGCATAATTTCAGTACCCCGGGCATTTTGGTAATTATGAAGAAGTTGTTTGAAGATTTTTAAGACATTTGACCCCTGTGACCTTGAAAGTGGGTCAAGGTCATTCATTTGAACAACTTGGTAGCCCTTCATCCCAGCATGCTACTGGCCAAATATCATCAGCCTGGGCCTATTTAGCATGAAAATCTTTAAATTTGCAATAAAATAGATTATTCCTGAAATTTTGGCAAAAAAAAAGAAAAAAAAATCCCATATAAACCATGTTATTGACCTTGTACGCTTTTTTGGTTGTTTTCAGGAAAATGCTAAAAAACAATTGTGAAATTTCAAAAAAAATCTTAAAAATAATCCAATTTTGAAGATAACATGGCTCTGATTGCTGTTTTGTAATCAGGTTATGGTAGTCTCTAAGAAAATTAAAAGAAATAAATTACTTTTTGTGTGGAAAAAAAATAGTTAGGCATGGTACAAAGTCCCGTGCACATCAACTTTGTCAGTTTTAGTGACTATCGCTGTGCGCTTCGATCCACTGAAGTGTAATATTTTGTCATTTTGTGATATTTTGATGAATTACTTACCTCAGTACAATTTTTGCCTCTGAAAACATTCGTAATATGACACTGGTCAGTCTGAAAGCAGAACTGCACGATGAGTCAGAGTGAAAATACAAACATTGCTATACCGGAAGTGTGTTGTACGTCATCAAAACATGTGTAAGATCTAGTCACTAGAGACCACGTACACACGATATGACAGATAGGTTGTAGTGCTATGGAAAAGGTTGATTTTGGAAGTTTAGAAGGTAATATCGACACTCCAGAATCTCAGCAACTATCCAAGAAAGGAGGGTAAGGCACTGCAGTGTTCTAGCGTCGATACATAAAGTTTGAATTGAGTTCTTCTGTAACAGGCATCTACGTACGCGTCAGACTTGTAAATAAACTGAAAAGACTATTTAACACAATCGTTCATTTTCAGTATCAGTATGGCAGAACTATTCACATTTACAAACCAGGTGCATGTACTGCAGACTCAGTGCATGCTACTACGGTCTCTGAACGCATGTTTTTTTTTGTGTAGTAGCAGCTACGTGTACCTATGTGTACATTAATATTGCATTATTGTAAACTGGAGTTGACTGTTTTCACCTATGACTTGAGTAGGTCTAGTATGTAGTATAGACTTGCTAAAGTCACTTAAAAAAGTAAATAGAAATTAAGTGTCCATAAAAGAGACTGATAGCCAGTCTCATCAACAGAGTATAGTAGATATTTGTTATATATATATTGAATTGATTAATATATTTAAAAGAGGTTAAACATGTCCACATTTGGTTCGTTGTTTTTCTGATATAGATTTCCTGGTTCCATGTTTGCTGTAAAGAATAGGTAAGACTTACTCAATGGGTGTTCAATCTTCGAAATCCGAAAGTTCTCTTCCTGATATAATGTATGTTATCTGCACCCTTGGATTTTCTGCTGGCAGAATTTTAAATGACCCTTATGGTCAAAATAATCCTGTTTATACAATTGTGAACTGGTAAACTGACAGCACAAATGTATAGTTTGATCTCAGTAGTTCCTTGATAATCATAACAATCTGTTGTGAATGTAGCCAAACTGGACTGGGTTGATTGCTGTCGACCAGGCAGCTGGTACATGTAGCTGATCATTTTATAGAGCTTTCATCTCGAATTAACTCATTCACCCCTGAAGACACATTTGAACCCTTCCAATTCAAAGGTTTGAATAGCTCCTTATGAAATTTCAGGGATGAATGAGTTGAGATGGTCCCTTGTTTAAATTCCGGTCTGGCAATGCATTTCTCTTCCCCTAATACAGCGCTATCGTAGGACTTGTAAATACTGTAAATATCTCCAGGGTTTTAAGAATTAGAAAAAGAAGGGAGGAATATTATTAATGTAGCCGAACTTGACAGGATCGATCTCTGGCGCCCTTATATTCAATCTGGTACCTCATGATCAATTGTGTTCAGGTCCGAGAGTCCTGGGTTCAAATCCCAGTCTGGCAATGTATCGGCACTATTGTCTGTCGACATCCTTGTAATTGGTTAGGTCTCTGATATCTGGAAACAATACGATAGCTTCAAACCATCGGCCTATATATAGAGAGTTCTACATTCAGTGATTGTTTTTGCTCAGTTTTACTGTCGATTACAGGCTGTTTCCCCTAGCTAAAAAAGCCTTATTTTCCCAAAATGACCAAAACTGAGGAATAAAATTATTCCAAAATTCAATACAAGTGTACATTATTATCCCAAAGCATAAAGGAATAGGTTGTAGAAAAATTTAGGTAACAAAAACACTGACATTTCTATCATGAAAAATTGAAGGGTGCAGAGAAGATATGTACATTGTTTAAATCTTGAAGATGTGGGTGTACATTAGATTGGTAATATTACCTTACTGGTGTGTAATGGACATACATTTATATTACTAGGGCTGCAGCGAGACATTAACATGATAATACGATATACATCAATGCAATATTCCGTATTGGTATTGATTGTTACGTCATTGGTTTGTGTGAGAAAATTACGTTGTTTTCTCAAAAATTGACGACGTTACTCTCACACACAAATGACGTAACAATCAATACCTGCTCACAAGAGAAGATAACTCTGCAATACGAAAAGACGGAATATAACAACTATAGAAATAGAATTGGTCCAAAATGGGCATGACTTTGAATAGTTTCAAACAATTCACGTCTTTTGACGTGCATGCAGAGCTGGAGCTGGCCATGTTGGAACCAATATGTGCAGACTTTAAATAATTCAGAAAAGACAAAATCCTGAAAATATCTTTGGTGTGTCGTAACCTCCAAAACAATATTGTGTATCGTACCATATTGAAAATACTGTGGTATACCGTCGCATTATATATCGTTGCAGCCCTATGAATTACTATATACCAGGACATTTTTGCTGCAGTTAACTTTCGCCTTTATCGCCCTCCTGGAATGAGAGCAAATTTGTAAAAAAACAAAATTAGTAATAACATGTCAATGGCCAAATGAACAATTTCAGGCAAACATAGGTCTTTAAGGTAAAGAGCCAATACCTGACTGGGAGAAAGTTTCCTGTTATACAGAAGTACCAATAGGTTTAGCCCTGAGTCGAAAGTTTACATCTATGGTTTTATTTTGCAGGCTTCATTTTCAAACGTGAAATATTATTTGTAGAAGAAAGTGTCTGTGTGTCCCACATATACTATTGTAGTAATAAATTGGCTGTGTGTGTAATTTTTTAAATCACAAACAAATCCAAAACTGTTTAAGTGCAAAGCATTACTGTATTGGTATGCTGGGAATTTTTTGTTGCAGTGTAAATTTTCTCCATTTTGCCCCAAGTAATAATGGAAAATTTATCTTGATAGCGAATATTAGTACAAATTACATAATTTTAAAGCTTTTCACCCCTGAAAACACACTTGAACTCTTCCAATTCAAAGGTTTGAATACCGTAAAAACTCTTATAATTTGTGCACTTTTTTTGATAAATTTAATGCCCAAACTGGGGGGTGCGCAAAATACATAAGCGTAAGTCACTTCAATTTTTTTTTCAAGAAAAGACTGTCGTCTTGAACACAAGAGAGTATCGCCCTTGGTACACGGTAGTTCATTTTAAAATTTCAGGGGTCAATTAGTTAAATATAGTAATAAATTATATGTGAAAGGCGAATATTTAACAAAGTGAAAGTTTCCATGTATACAGCATTTATGATAAAACATCTGAGAGAGTTGAACAAAGAATATATTGGCCAGGTTTGTTGTGGTTACAGTATCTGGTTGGGTCGCAAATCAAAACATCTTGTATAACCCATTATGTGAACATCAAGGCTCAAACTATCTCTGACAGCATTCTGTTGTGGCAATATTAATTCAAAGTTTTAAACACATTACAAAATCCCAAAATGCTGAAGTGTTATTAATACAGAATTACAGTTAATTGAAATATCACATGTCTGTCTGCCTTAGTGCATATATTACTTACAAACTTTTTGTAATTTCCTTTGGGGAGAATCTACATTTAAAAATTTAAAACATGAATTCGTAAAATATATAATTAGAATGTTCAATTTTATGGTCCAAAACGAGAGTTTCGATTCTTCCAAAAAAGGGAGAGTTCATGATCAGTTGGCAAGTATACTGGTGCTAATCTGTGTAAAATAAAACATAATCCAATATTCACTACTTGTGATTGTTACAAACACAATTTCTGAGAAAAACAACATAAGAAAAATATACAAATTTATACTAAATTTACAGGGTTGCCTCTGTAAGAGGTTGTTTGACTTTGTTTTTTTTAGATTTTCAGCCATGCATGACCGTCAGGTGATTGGCAAACTTCTACGAAATCATAGACTCGGTGTACAGCACGTAGACAATGTAGATTTCTTTTATTCTTTACTGTTTTGTTCTTACCTTTTTATAAGCCCGTCAAATTTGACAGGAGTATTATGGTATGGCGTCCGTCCGTCTGACGTAAACATTTGTTTGTCCGGCAATCTCGTCCTACATTTTTTGACCAATCTCTTGGAAACTTGGTATACATTATAATCATGATATGAAGTTGTGTCTCCCTTAAAAGAATTTTGATTCGACAATTTTTCCCAAATTTATTGCCCTTTGTTCATTTCAGTATTTGATTTTTGTCCGGCAATCTCCTCCTACATTTTTCAACGGATCTCTTTGAAACTTGGTATACTTTATAATCATAATGTAAAGTTGTGTCTCCCTTAAAAGAATTTTGATTCGACAATTTTCCCAAAGGTTATTCCCCTTTGTTCATTTCAGTATTTGATTTTTTGTCCGGAGATCTCCTCCTACATTTTTTGACAGATTTCTTTGAAACTTAGTAGGCTAAATAATCATATGTTGTTGTGTTTCCTTGAAAAGAATTTTGATTCAACGATTTTTGCAAAAGTTATTGCCCTTCGTTCATTTCAGTATTAGATTTTTTGTATTCAGAGATTTTCTCCTAAATTTTTATAGCATGTCAGTTAACCACTCTTGGAATGATGCAGATCTTATTTCAATGTAAGAAAGTATATAACGCTATATGGCATTCAACGGGCGTATATTGTTCCGCCCTGCGGTACTCTTGTTCAACCTTTGTAATGGACCCAGAAAAATTATAAACAATAACTATGAAAAATAAAATGTCTTTAAAACCAGAATTTTCAAATGACAAAGAGTTACCTCCACTTAGACCATAGATTTAATGATATTATTAGAATTCTCATGCCGAGTATACATGTGTGATATCGATGGGCCTGTAAAAAACATACTTGACAAAAACTGGATAGTCATATATAACATTGTAGGGTACAACATGCAAACATGCATACACCTTGTGCTATTGCAACTGTATAGAATGAAAGTAAACTGTACTAGTGCTACAATCTGAATACCTTGTATGTTTATTACATTGTAACAGACATCATTGACTCCGTCAGCATAAATTGTATGTTGAGGTTTATTCCACCAGAGACTTAATATAAATTATGTATGTTATATGTAATTATTTACAAAATAATCCTTTTGTATTTAATGATGTATGGCAATATGCTTTATCAAATTCTCTATCTTTTTCAGGTATCTTCCCAGAAATATCACTTTAATGAACAACTTTATTCAAAGTTTATATTATTTTACAATGGATTTTTTGTTTATAATTCATTAAAATAATTATCAATGAATACTGTAATTAAATAAATATTGTATCAATGGGTGCTGTATTTAAATTAAGATTTTAACAATGGATGCTGTAATTAGATAAATATTTTATCAATGGATATTGTTATTACCGGTAATTACAAATTTAGTCGATACATGAGTAATATAGAAATGTACTTCCTTTTTCATTTCAGAATCATGTCACTGACTCTGTCAAACACATCAGCCCGAGAATGGCTTTCTCGAACTAGGGAAGGCATCAAGCCATGGGGAGAATTCATCAGTACCAGTAAATTCAAGGTGCCGAAGTCCATCACACCTGTTCCAAAAAGAATCGTGAAAAATATTGAACATTTTCAGAGCAATTATCTCTTCGTCTTCCTTGGACTAGTCTTGTTCTGTGTGTAAGTAACTTCAAAATTTCAAATTTCCTTGAGTTAAGGAAATTTAAGTTTTATTGTCTAAGAAATCATTATTGAAGTTAACTTTAAGAAAAATCTTAGCTTAAAAATCTTTACTGATGTTTTCTTAAAGAAAATCTTTCAAATTATTTCCTAATGACTTTCATGTCTATTTCACATTTTTTTTAATAGATATTTATTGCGATAAATAATATTCTTTAAAAGGAAATATTTGATGCTATATAAGTTCTGAGTTAAAGGAATTTTATTTTCCTTGCAGTAATGAGATCCTATTTAAATATTTAATTAAGGATTTTTTTCCAGTTGAACTTAATTTTATCACATACCTATGTAATCTTACAATAGTAATACAACAATTTTCTGCTGATTTTTTCTGTTGGTTTGTATCACACATGTGTGACAAGACGTTGTACAGTACATTTCACCTAATATCATGTCTGTTAATGTCACTTTTCGGTTATTATCATGTTTTTTTGATGCACCGTTTTTCCTGCTATATAATCTATGCAATTCAATTCTTTTATTATCACCTGATTTTATGTTGATTTCTCTTAATATCACTTTATTTTGGCCACTGCCACAAAAAAAATACAGGTAAATGGTGGTAATGATTCATGATAAATGCCCTGGGGACCTTCTTTCACACCCTGGACGCATTATGTAAATAATGCCTTGACCTAACAGGGTATTTTTTACACCTGGCTGACTGTCAAACAATAGGTTACACCTGGCTGACTGTTAAACAATAGGTTGACTTACATACTTGTTAACATGATATTCACCTGTGGTTGGGGGAGCTAGGACAGTCTAACATCTGTAAACTTTTCTAATGCCAAGTGTGATGTATTCTTTCAACTAATTATAA